TAATGGCATGGGAAGATATTAGTATGACATGGTAAATGAAAAAAGGTTACAAAATGGTACGTACAGTTTAACCTTACTCTGATTAAAACAATATATAACATGTACATCCAAATAGCGGCTCAAAGGTTAACAGTCACGTCTGAGTATTCAACATGGGATTTCTGTTTACTTTGTGCTCCTCTTCCTCTCCTCCTCCTCCTGGTTTTCTATAATATTGTCTTATTTTTCACTAAGAGAAAGGAAGAACAATTTAAAAATTTATTATGATATTAAGATGTGGTTATACACACACACACAATTGAAATACCCAGCCATAGAAAAGAATGAAATTTTGACATTTTTTGGCAACATAGATGGATTTGGAGGGTATTATGCCAAGTGAAATAAGTCAGACAAATACTGTGTGATATCACTTATATGTAGAATATAAAATATGCACCAAGGATATATCGTACAACATGGGGAATGTAGCCAATATTTTATAATAACTATAAATGGAGTATAACCTTTAAAAGTTGTGAATCTCTACATTGCACACTATAATTTACATAATGGGGCTTTCCTGGTGGCTCAGCGGTAAAGAACAAACCTGCTAATGCAGGAGACATGAGTTTGACCCCTGGGTTGGGAAGATCGCCTAGAGAAGGAAACGGCAACCTATTCCAGTATTCTTGCCTGGGAAGTCCCATGGACAAGAGGAGCCTTGTGGGCTATAGTCCAGGGCTGCAAAAGAGTTAGACGCGACTTACTGGCTGAACAACAACTGTTTACATAATATTGTATATCAACCATACTTCAATTAAAAAATGTTATTTTTGCCTGTAATGTCAAAGATGATTTTAAATGCAATACACAGTATTAGTAAAAAGTCAAATCATACATAAAATATGTGTTGCTAATGGTGGAATAAACTTGGCACTGGCAACACAAATGAAAAACCTTAAAAACGGAAGTATTTCATTTCTAGGGCTTAAGTAAGTCATTAGAGATGGATGCAAAAAATGAATATATAAACTCAACTGTCCATTTTTAGGTTTTTGATTAGATAAATTACATCCTTATGAGCAATATATGTATTAAAAATCACACTGCAGGATACTTACTGACATACAGGCCTGTATATTAAAAGGCAAAACAACAAACATTATGTCCTATATAATACTAATTTAATATGAAAATGTATGTTTCCTAAAGCTACCAACAAACTACCGCGCAACTAGATGGCTTAAAGCAATAGAAATTTACTCCTACCACAGTTTAGGCCAGAAGTCCAAAATCAAGGTGGCGGCAAGGTTGGCTCCTCCCGGAAGCTCTGGCAAATCTGCTTCATTCTTCTCTCCTAGCTTCTCGTAGTTGCTGGTAATCCTTGGTGTTCCTTGGCTCGTAGCTGCATCGCACTGATCTCTGCATATTGCCTCATGGCCCTCTCCCTGTGTTTATGTCCTCTTCTCTTCTTGTAAGGACACCAGTCATTGCATCTTAACTGATTTTATCTGCCAAGATCCTATTTCCAATGAAGGTCACATTCTGAAGTTCTGGGTTGACGTGAATTTTTTTGACACTATTCAACCCACTATATGTATATAACTTACATATAAATAAGATTGGATAGCTCCATGAACAGTATTTCAGGGTAGGTTGATGGATAATTTAAATAATTTTTGTTTTTCTGCATTTAAAAATAAATAGCTTATGTTCTGACGTTGCATTTATGTAAGTTCTAAATTTATTGTGTGAGTTGAACATCACTTGTAGCCAAAAATTCCTCTCCCCGCAACTCACTTTTTCTTCCTACAGCTCAAAATGTATAGAATACATCATTTTATATATCATGTATCTTCTTGCAAAAACATCCAACATAGCCAATTCTTCCTCCAGCACTGAACATATTACTGATCCTCTGGGTAAGCATCAGATGAAGCAGCTGACTTTTGTTTACCTTATTTTACAAAAATGAAAAAAAAAAAAAAAAGATTTTCTAAGCATGACAGTATAATTCAATGTGGTCAAGTTAAATGAGTGAGTGATGAGACTCCACTGTTCCACTTTTACAGTTTGAGGGAATACAAATTTCTTTTGTATTTACAAAAAAAAACCCAAACACTACAAACAACAGTGATGAATTAGAAAAGCCTCTATGACCAAGGGAAAAATAATGACTGATTTCCACAATGTATTTCTTTAAGAGGTTAGGTATATCTCTGAGACTTTCTGGATTTTTAAAGGTCCAGGAGAAGAGAACTTAAGGAAATAATAACATTGTGGGTATAATTATAGCCTGCTTCTGTCTCTTAAAAATTGCTCCAATGTTCACTTTCCTTTTAAAGATTTATGACTAATGTTTCTTTCATAACTGGAATAAACTACATATAAAAGAATAAAAGTATTGTCATGTACAGAGGCTGACATCATGGGTAGTCAAAGAATATGTTTAATAAAAAATAATTAAACTTCCATTTGCTCTATAGAACATCATAGAAAGTAATTTAATAAATTACAAATGACTTTTTAAGACGTCTGCTCAACTACAGAAAGCAAATTCAGACTACACAAAACACAACTGGTAAATATTGCAAATGTCCAAAAGAAAAATTGGACTAAGACTTGAATCATGAAACCTGAAACAGGGCTATAAATACAAGGCAATAACAGCTATAATTCTTTTAGTAACTACCAACACATACTTGGATATCCTTTCAACTGCAACTTTAGTATTATGTAATTCTACTGATTTCTTTTTTTCTTATAACCCTTAACTTTACACAACCATGTTTGCATGTTTTTTTTTAAGCTGATAGCTGGACAACTTTTCCCCAATCAGTACTAGATAGAAGTATCTTGAAACCCAAGAGAATGTTTAAAGTTAATATTAGCCTTAATGCTTTGAAAACTGCAACTGCCTTTATTACATAGAAAGAGAATCACTAAGATGTTAACCAAATTCATTTGATCTAATTAGGAAAATACTTTATCTCATAAATTTGATATAAATTAGATTTTACTGACAAGATTTAGGGTTTTTTATTTCCCCTTTAAACTGGAGACAGAAAGGAATGACGATCATGTGGGCAGGACTAGAGGGAGAGAAGGGAAATACGGATGGTGCTGAAATACTCCACCGGCAACCTATGTTAACTGTGTTTGAAAACTTTGGCTATCTCATAGGTGTATTCTAGTTAAACAAAAGTGCAATACTGCAAAGGGAAGATACTAAATATGTAATATATCATTTTCATGATGAAGAATTACTACCCACTTCTCCTGGAAGGGCATTATAGTGACTATTGCTAAGACATTGCATAAAGGACTATCAATTCAAAGTACTATTTTGGGAAAATACAAAAATCAATACAATCCCAATGGAACTGATATAATTTTGTAAATACATGTAACACTGTCTCTCTAATAAGGGATTATTTTACATACAGAAACATAATTTACTGGTAAAGGTCTTGGAAAATTCAATATAATTGCTTAATTCTTGACAAAGCAATAGAGTTGTATCAAAACAAACTGAAAGTTAATTTTTCTGTGGGAGAGAAGTGGGGTAGTTTTCCCCTAGCAAAGTTTGTCACTGACTTATTTATTTAAGTACCAGAACAATGCTTTTCTCTCCTTAGGATGTACATGATATTCTATAAACAATTTAACTCTGTTTTCGATGTATATGAAGGTGAACCTGGACCTCTACCTTGTCAGAATAATAGCAGCTTTAGCAGGAGAAACTGTATCACAAATCAAATATCAGACAAATTTTACATGGTAAAGGGTTCTAAGAAATTGATCAGAAGCCTTAGACTTCCTTTTTTTGTGGTTTACAGGAATAATGTATATATTTTTTGAGATTATTAAAAGTGCATTTTCAAAATGGGCAATTCAGTATATTTAACATAAACTGATAACCGAACACTGATTCTGGGCCAACATTTAGTCTGCTTATACCTAGAAATGCAAAATGAATTTAGACTATCTGCATATTACTTTACCCTATTATCTGTTAATTTTGGAATATTTCCATGACATAAAACACAAATAGAAATCTACACAAATAAAGCAAACAAACAATTTCTTTTACATGAAGTATGCTGTGTTGAAAAGTTCTTTTCAGTGGTATTTCATGATTTACCTTTTCTGAACCCTGGAAACAGACATTACTCATCTGAGACATAATTATTTCTAATAGGAGGCCAAACTTTGAAAAGTTAAAACTAAATGTGTCTAGAGGGTGTCAAAATCACATGACACAGGATTATTTTATGACTTAATTTTACTGATTTTAGAGTTAAGCTCAGCAAAAAGCAAGTCATATTTCTTGCCCGATTAACATGATATATAGGATGTGTTTAAAAAACCCCTGAAAACAAGTATAGAATTAGAAACGAATGTAAACTTCCTAAACTAACTCAGCTGAGGTAACAGGTAGCCAGTTAAATTGGCTGATTGGGAAACTTATTTCTTCTTTAAAACACACTTGTACCTGAATTGGAAATATCAGCAGTGCATCACAACACTAGAGCATTTTCATGTAATTAAAGCAATGGATGGTGATGTAGATTCTACAGCTTTCATGACATTCATTAGCTGCCCAAATTATTGCTGAGTTTGATCTGTAAATTATAGGTGTCAAGGAGGCTGTAAAACTATATTCAAATTAAATCAGTAATATGCATAAAGTATTCTGTGTTCACTGCAAATATATTAAATATACAACTCTTATTGAGCATAATTTTCATAAAATTAACCCCCAACAAAATTATAATGCCTTTTGTTGTAATTTTACACCTTTATGTATTTGATAGTACATACGAGTTCAGAAACTTATGAATCTTAAGAAATATTACATGCAAAACGTCTCTGAAAGCAGTTTGCACTTCTAAACAAATAACTGAAATGTTCGGTCAGTAAGTTATTGATGCACTCAACACTGGCGTATTTACAATTAATAATTAAAGGGAAAAAAAAATCCAAAATCAGTTCATAATTTAAGTGCAGTCTGAGAATCAGTCTTCATTACTAGAGTCTGAATCCTCGGATGACGATGATGTACTATCAGATCCAGATGAAGCGTCGGCTTTCTCTGAACCCTCATCTGTGCTGTTTTCATGGAGAGGACTCGGTTCAGTTCCCCCTTTGTCTTCCTGATCTCTAACTCTGGAATCTTCTTCCTTTACTTCCACAGACTTAGATGAGCCTAAGTCACTGTTTTTGTTTTTCTGTACATCAAAACTGTTGGACTGAGACAAAGCTGGAATATGAAGATTAAGGCCTGGAGTGAGAAGCATCCCTGGATAAAGAATATTAGATAGTAACAGTGGGTTCAGGGCTAACGGGCTGGCAGCTGCAGCTGTACTTAACGCAGCAGCAGAGGACGCTGCAGGAGAACCTGACACAGAGTTTTCACCGCCGTTCTCGGAGTTGTGGCTCTCTGTCCTTTCTTTTTTCCCTTCTACCTCCTTAGAGTCATTTCCCTTTTTTTCTTCTGTTCCGGATTCTGTCGGCTTTGTCAGGAGCCCTCCCATGCCCAACAGATTTGGCAACCCAGTCATTCCCGACAGCAGCATGGGGAACATGGCGGCCACGTTTTTAGCTTCTCCTCCAGAAGAAAGGCCAGCAGGCATTCCCATCAGCCCTGCAGTCACTTGCAGTGATTGCAAGTTTTGTAGGTTTTGTTGTAAGGCCTGAAGAGTTGAGAGGTCCACACCTGGAAGTAATCCATTGGCTAGCAAAGGATTGCCTGAAATACTGGTGGCAGTTGCAGCTGCTGCTGCCGCTGTGGCCTTTGCAATTCCACTTTTAGGTCGTCTCCCTCGCCTGCTTACTTCCTCTCTTACCACGGGACCAGTGAGAATACGTTCATACATACTTTCTGGAAGAAATCCCTAAAAAAAAAAAAAAAAAAAAATCATCAACAATAGCCATTTTAAAATAAAATCAATAGCTATTAACTTATGATACAAATAAGCCATTAAAAACATGAAATTGTTCATAAACTTATTCTGCATTGATACAAAATAACCAATTATGAAAGAGATAGCCCAATTTTATCTTATTTTTAAGTAGGGCTTGAAAGAGTTCTTCCACTTCTCATTTTATCTTGAGAGCCTCTGGTTCTCTTTTGTAACTGTGAGGCATAGGTTTGTAAAATAGTTCTGGAAACCAGAAGATCCAAAAAATTTTATTCCTGCCATGCCCTTACTTGTTCACATCACCAGAAGACTAAAGAAACACCCTTCTTCTAGTCTGGAAGAGCAGTATGCAAAGGACAGAAGTAACGATGAAAATGAGGTGCTTCTGACTCTTTTCTGACTATCCCTTTGGGAATAACGGAGACAGAGCCAAGATGGGGGAAAAAATCACTTGGCTCAGAACAGTGGTAGCACCTGCAGACTGGGAAGCACCAAGTCCCGGGCAGTGGAGAACAACCACTGGGAATTTCTTGAAATTCCCCCAAGATTTTCTGAGGTTCAAAACTCCTAGAAGAACAAAACAAAATAAAACAACCCCCCCCCCCCAACAAACAAACCAAAATTCCTAAATATTAGGAGTTTAGAACCTCTGGATCAGCACTGTCCAATAGAAACAATGTAGACAACATATGTAACCTAAAATTTTCTAGTAGCCACAATAAAAAAAGGCAAAATAAAAATATGACACCAGTTAGTATACACTGATTCTGCATTCTAATTCAACAAGTATCTGAGAAGTTTGCAATGTACTCTGCAAAATAAAAATTGTGAACTAAAAAATATCATCACATATTTATGAAATATTTTGTTAATTCTTAACTTAAAATTTAATCTAAGATGGCATTAAATAGCATTTCATTTAAAAGATGATGTCTGAACTAGTGTTCATGAAATACTCACGGACTGCTTAACAACATCTCCCCATTCAGGAGCTACTCCATATTCTGCATTTTCTTTCAGGAACCGACACAAATCTTTCAGAGGGGGAGCAAATGCACCTCCAACCTATAGACAAAAAACAGACTCTCAGACACTTAAGAGCATATTAAATGTGACGACATTTCTTTCTTTAAATCTGTGCTATACAGAGTTTATTTCTTTAAAACACATGTATTCTTTGAATCACTGTGACAATCCTTATTATAGTAAAGAGGACTACCACAACCCATAAGAACTATCAATATACTACATAAACACATGCTAACATAAATGTTAGATGTTTCATGTATAGTTCCTTGGACAGTAAAATAACTACCATGTACTGTGAAGTTATTATGTTGGGTAGGCAGTGTAGCCTAGTTAAGAGTATATCCTTTGGAGTCATCAGACTTACCACCTACAACTTGGGCAAATCAGAAAATCTTTTTGAGTCTCAGTTTTCTGATCTGCAGAATGGAAATAACAATAATACCTCCCTCATACGGTTTTATGAAAATGAGATAATTCAAGCACCTCAGCAAAGGGTCTGGCACATAATAAATATAAGTTGTTATTATTATATTGCCAAGTATTATGCTAAGGACTTTAGGTACGTAATTTATTTTAGTTCTCACTATATCCATTTGAGAATGCATTATTTCTATTTTTCAAATGAAGGAATTAAGCCTCAGAGAAGTTATACAAGCTGCCTAAAGCTAACTAGTAAGTGTCAGGGTCAGCTTTCAAATTCAGGTCTCAAAAACCAATGCACTTATCTTTTATGCAAACTAATACCCTAAAAGTTGTATTTGTAGGCATCACTGGAGTTTTTTTTTTTTGGTCAGGTTGGATGCCAGGCTGAAATGCCAGGCTGGATGAAGCATAAGTTGGAATCAAGATTACCAGGAGAAATATCAATAACCCCAGATATGCAGATGACATTACCCTTATGGCACAAAGTGAAAAAGAACTAAAGAAACTCTTGTTTAAAGTGAAAGAGGAGAGTGAAAAAATTGACTTAAAATTCAACATTCAGAAAACTAAGATCATGGCATCCGGTCCCATCACTTCATGGCAAAAAGATGGGGAAACAGTGGAAAGTGATAGACTTTATTTTGGGGGGCTCCAAAATCACTGCAAATGGTGACTGCAGCCATGAAATTAAGATGCTCGCTCCTTGGAAGAAAAGCGATGACCAACCTGGACAGCATATTAAAAAGCAGAGACAAAAAAAAAAAAAAAAAAAAAGCAGAGACATTGCTTTGCCAACAAAAGTCCATCTAGTCAAAGCTATGGTTTTTCCAGGAGTTATGTATGGATGTGAGAGTTGGACTATAAAGAAAGCTGAGCACCGAAGAATTAATGCTTTTGAACTGTGGTGTTGGAGAAAACTCTTCAGAGTCCCTTGGACTGCAATGAGATCCAACCAGTCCATCCTAAAGGAAATCAGTCCTGAATATTCATTGGAAGGGCTGATGCTGAAATTCCAATATTTTGGCCACTGACTCATCTAAAAAGACCCTGATGCTGGGAAAGATTTAAGGTGGGAGGAGAAGGGGACGACAGAGGATGGGATGGTTGCATGGCATCACCGACTCAATGGACATGAGTCTGAGTAAGCTCCAGGAGTTAGTGATGGACAGGGAAGTCTGGCGTGCTGCAGTTCATGGGGTTGCAAAGAGTCAGACATGACTGAGCGACTGAACTGAACCCTAAAAGTATAAAAATAAACATATCCTTTTAAATATTTAAATGATTTCAACCTACCAATTTAATGTTCCTTTGGAGTCTAAGGACACTCGAATAATTCCTTTTCCCACAGCTTTCTGAATGAATACGTACTATATCTTGTTAGGATACAGACAGGGTTTAATGTGGCCAGTTATGATAACTATATTGTTATCTAATTACTTTCTATAGTTTTTATTTAGCCTCTGAATTTTCTGTTTCTAAAATTTCCTTTTATTTATTTTATTTATAAAATTTCCTTTTTATTATCTCCTTAATTAAGCTCCAGTTTAAACTAGAGGCCCTCTGTATGGTTCAAAGCCTGTACTCTAGAAACTCAGAACAATAAAGAAATCTAAAAACCGAGGGAAATGAACAGGTCCTTTACCAGGCTACTACAATTAAAAATAAAATTTAGGATGTTTAATAGTCAACCAAGTAGAAATTTCAAAATGGTTCCATTTCCTTAAAACTGGCTAAGACAAATTTATTCATACCTAGAAAGTTTAATTTTTGTTATAAGATGAAGTGCAAAGATTTGTAACACAATGTGTGTAAGCACAAAATTTAAGTAAAATGCAACTAAAATGTCATCTTGTTCTTCCCTTAATACATTTGACATCATTTTAATCTACTAACAAAAGCTGAATAAACTTGGGGAAAAATTAGTAGTAATTTTAATGAGTTAGTACATACAATAGTATTAAGACAATTGTTATTTTAAAAATGGTATTCTTCCAATTTCAATACTTCTGAGAAATTAAAATGATTTCATGTATTTTTATACTAGCAGTGAGGTCATTCAACAGAGAGCAAAACAGAAGTAGGGAATTAACTAGGGATATATGTAGGGTAATTTGTGGGTGAAGGAACTCAATGATAAACTTGATGGTCTTACTTTGAAGGCCATTTCTTTTTTTTTTAACTTATTGTGCTGCTTGCTCATCAGAATAAAAAACAATAAAAGTGTCAAAGCTATAAACTTACAAAAGGGTGCCTCAACTGTTCTATAATTTGCTTTGTGAGGTAAAAGAGACATATACCAATCCATACCTAAAACAGAAACAATTAGGGGAAACAAATTTTGAGCCGCATTTGATTCAGAAACAAGACTGGAAAAACCTGGCCCTCAATAAATAAAGCGAGAAGATAAGCACCGGAGTACCGTTTGTCTCTAAGATAAGACATTTAATTCCCACCCATCAGGAAACTATGTAAGATGTCAATTTTCACAGAAGACGGCCCCTTAAGGGCTGATGCTGGAATCACCCATACGTGATAAATATATGTAAATCTGTACTGGCCATGATGAGAACAGCATTCCCTTTCAGCAGAGTCTCTCAGCCTCTGCACTACAGACCACTTTGGATTGGTGTCGTGGGAGGCGTCCTGTGCACTGCAGGAGCTGTAGCAGCGTTCCTGGCCTCCACCCGCCACGGCCAGCAGCTCACCACCTCCCCAACACCCACCTCCTTCATCTAGAGATAAGACTGTCAAAAACATCCCCTGATCGCTAAATATTCCTTGGAGGACAAAGTTACCCCCTTTTGAGAACTACTGCCTTAGATGCAGTGCCCTGGTTCAGTGTCATTGCAAAGGTACAGATATATAAAGTAACTTATTTCATTCGACAGCTTAGCCAAAAGTGTGGGATTTGAAATTAGACTGCATAAAATTGTAGTACGTGTCTTTCCCCTCAAATCTTCTAGATTTAACCCAACTAGGTCTGTTAGAAAATACTGCATAATGAAACAGTGTTCTAGAGATTTCTTACATAGTGCATCAGTATGAAAAATTAACAACAAATATGCAAATACCTTTCTGGCATTTCTTCTGTTAATCAGCTGAACACGTTCTTCTCCGGTGAGACTATTAACGTCTAATTTATTGGGGTTTCTGCAACGATGCCTTTTTTGTTTGGGTCTCCCCTCATGGAGTTGCATTCTCTAAAATATATAGACAAAGAAATAGCTGTAAAATCTTTAACTATGCAGATGGAACAAATAAGCTGATCCAAGTAGTTTAACCATGTAAAATTGAAGATATATGGTATGTATAAGATATAGTAATACAGTGGGTTTCAACTGTGTAGGTCCACTTATATGTGGATTTTTTCTCAGTGACTACACAATCCATTGTTGATTGAATCCAAGGATGTGTAACTGAGGACATGGAAGGGTAATTGTAACATTATACTTGAATTTTTGGCTGTGGAGGGTGGCATGCGTCAATATCTTTTAACTCCTGTGTTGTTCAAGGGCCAACTATTTATGTTATATATTGAAGGGCTAGTACATAACACCACGTTACAATCCTTTTGCTGTAGACATACCACAGTAGCATGTGAGAGCCAAGAAACCGTTAACATCAAGTGCCCTTGGGAAATCATACCAACATTATGTTGTATTTTCTACTCAAACAAATGTGGCTTATAGCAATGTCTTAAAATTGTTTTATAACATTATATAAAACATTGTGATAAAAGGGTTATTTGCAGTGAAAATGATGAATGGCTCCAAGTTAAAAAAAGTAATAAAGACTCCTTTGGAGTAGTAAGAGAAAGGTCTGAGAATCTTCAGAGATGAGAGTATAATTGCCAAAAGGGCAAGAACTTTATATTGTTCACTGTTTTATCCTAAATCCCTTACAACAGTAACTAGCACATAGCAGCTGCTCAATGAAAATTGACTAAATAAATGAATGTTATTTACTAACATGTTAAGAAGTTACCGGGTTAAACAAATCATTCTCATCATCTTCAGAAAGCAGTACTCGTTTTATTATTGCTCATCTTACTGAAAACCTGTCCTTTACAAGAGCTTTGTTTTTTTTTTTTAAATAAAAAGAATTAAGTGGAAGTTTGAGAATTTGTGGCATTTTCTGAAAGAACTAGGGATATGAAAGCCAAGACTGAGGTTCTCAGTATTAGACTATCACGTTACCTCTTGGTGATAATAATATAAAACACTATACACACACACATACATACACACACACACGTATGTATATCAAGTACAGTCACATTCTAGGAACTGGAGCTTTTGGTGGTTCTTTGGCATGAAAAAAGAAGGCAATTAATTTTTTTTCTGTTAATAACAATCACTTTATATGGTATTCTTTCATTTTCAAAAGATTTTCATTTACAACTCATTGACTCAGTAAGTATTTACAGGGAACTAGATACCACTCTCTGTATCAGAAATTATGTGCTCAAGCCTGGGGCTACAAGGTGAAGAGGACACAACCCTTAAGCAGCTCGCAGGGTAGGGAACATTACTGGGTTATCCAATTATCTTCATAATGGAGGCGGACAGCGCAAGACTACTACTGGCATACAGGGGACATGCCACTACTCTTTTACCTTATAAAATGTATAGAAACAAGGGAGACTAACACAAAATCTGGTACATAAGCATCTGATAGTAAAGCACTGCAAACTGAAATAGTACATTTCTATGAGTAAGAAAGCCATATGCCCATAAGATAGTGAGTAGGAAGTATTTCAGAGGATAAGGAAAAAGGAAATGAATATACCTATTCTCATCTTGGCTAATATAATCTATGTACCTGTATTCTTATAAGATCTTAAGAGCAGAGGTTTGGACAGTGGGTTTAAGACTTATTAGCTGTGTGGCTTTGCACTATTTATTTAAAATTTCAGTTTCCATTTCTTGATCTATAAAGTTATAACAAGGCCATTCTGATAAAGTTTGGGAGTGTTAAATGAGATAATGCATGTAAGTGCTAAGTATAAAGCCAGGTACAGAGTTAAGTCTCAATAAATGTTTATTTTACTATGATCATTTTTATTATTTTAAAATAAACTCCTTGAGGGAAAGGATTGGAGGTTTTATACCTTTATAACTGTCATTGGGTCTATGATAGTACTCTGTATATGAGTGGTGACTTTTATTAAACACATTGGTGCAGAATGGAAAATAATATTATATCATAGAAAAGATGTTCACTAGTTTTCATTGCTAATTTTTCCTACATCTTGGGCAGAACACATATTTAACATAAGTGGGTGAGAATTTATACTTCATCATTATAGATGTGATGAATCATAGAGATAAAATATACTAAGATTTATAAGGTATCACCTACAGGAATAAAAGCTCCTAAATCTTCCACATAACCTGGGTGCTCCTTAAGCCACTTTTCCAAATCCTTTCTCTTCGGTGCATCATCGCCTGCAAGTCTTGTCCCATCTTTAAGGTTAATAACTGGAACAGGAGTTTCTGTATCAGGAATTCCTTGAGGTTGAGTATAGGATAGTGCTGGATTTATCCCTGTAGAAATCTGTGAGGTGGTTAAGCCTAACGCAACCTGTAGAAAAATACCAAATGAAAATTTTATTTCCATGCGTTAGCATTCTGATTTTGGTCCAATGAAGCAGACCTTTTTGAAGAGAAACAAAAATTGTTTAAAATTTCTTCTAAGTCTTTCAAATTTAAAATTTTCATGAATCTTGGCCAGTGCTGGACTCTACTGAGATGCAATCTAAAACTATACAGTATATTCCTAATTTTTCAGTTATTTTTATTATTCACAAAGCAGCAACATTTATCTTTACTAGGATGAATTTTGGACTCAAGGATCAGTAGCTTTTAAGCATTACTTTACTTACATGATTAGGTGGTTTATTTCTGTTAAAAAAGAGGATGTCAACACCTTCTACATTCTTCCTCCTTCCCCGCCTTTTTTTGACTACAGGCTGGTTGTCTAATAAAATTCCATTGGCACCAAGGGTTGATTGAATGGGAGTACCTAACAAATTAAAAATGCAAAAGAGTGATAAAAATTTAGTTCTTAAATTAAAAGTAATCATTTTTGGGGGGATGGATTGGGAGTTTGGGATTAACAGATGCCAACTATCATATATAGGGTTGATAAACAGTAAGTCCTACTGTATAGCACAGGGGACTATATTAAATATCCTGTGATAAACCCTAATGGAAAAGAATGTGTGTGTATATGTGTGTGTGACTCACTTAATACAACATTATAAGTAAACTAAAAACAAAATAGTTAATGCTTGTAATGAGACTCATGATCAAAATAAAAGAAAATGTTAAATTCAAAAAAACATAGTTTTTTTTTTAAACTAAAAATACTACCCACTTCTCATTTAAAATACCAGGAGAACTGCAATCCAGGTCTCCTTCAAGTTTTAACATGTCTCCTCAAAATTTTCCCTTGGATAGCCACATATCTTTTCTTTCGTCCCCTTTCAGAGGAAGAAGCATGCCTTTCTCATGTACAAGGCAAACCTTTCCACCTTTTTTGAACCCATTAATTCCTACTTTTTCTATTAAGTATAAGTTTGTTTTACCATTTATCTTTGCTTTTTTGGTGCTGAAATATCTTAATCTACATTAGATTTGTATCAACTTAAAATCATGGCCCAACACAAACAAAAAATAAACTTTCTGTGGCTTTTGCACAGCCTTCAAAACTTTTGAAACAGTATCTGTCATGCTCCTCTTTTTCATGACAAACTTCACATCTCAAATTCCTGAAGTCTGCCCCTGACCAGACTATTTAAGGTATTTTCCCTAAGATCACCAGTGTTTCCTGCCAGTTAAAGACTCCTTATTTCAGTAGGCACTCAATAAAAAACATTCGTAAGAGGTATGAATGAAACAGTGCCATGCACTCCTTTTTCCCGGCAGATACGTGTTTTTAAACAGCTGCGTATAAGGGACTAGGACGGTTCAAAGGTAAGACAGCTCCTGCCCTGAGAGACATGTCGTCTAGAACACTCTTATGAGAGAAAGTACTATTAAGGACGAGATGTTTGCTTGTAATGGTTCAGCTGTAGCGGGAAATACATTTTCAATCATCCAAGGAGAATTTCTTGAGCAAGTCCTATGTGCCCATGAAAGACACTTCCTTTTCTTTTTTAAAAACAACAAAAAACCCAGCAACCTTACTTTCTTCTTGAGAGTGATTTTTATAAACATTACTGATTTATTTTGGGCTAGAATCCAAAATGGAAAATTTAACTTATTCTATTTCATAAAGCCTGTGTTGTCTTTTCTAAGATGTAATTATAATAATATTAAAATTTAAAATAAATATTACTTTCTATTGAGTGCCTACTAGTTGTCACCATAAACTAGGCTAAGTGTTACAAATGTCTTCTTAAATTACCAAAAACAGAACAAACAAGACAGAGAGGTATTAAGTCAATTTTATAAATGTGATCAGAAATGTTATGCTGCAGGCCCACGTCACAACAGTTGGTAAATGACAGGATTCAACTCCAGGGTCTTTAGTTCTACCATCTTTTGATTACTATTCCAGGTAATTTCTGGAATAAACTAAAGACTTATAATTTATGCTATTTTACTTTCTTTCATTAATTTACATTATATATCTTCATTCAAAGCTTTTAGATAAAATTCAGAGGCATACTCATATAAACATAAAAAGGGCTTAATATGAAGAATTACAATAGCGCTTGTTCAATACCCAATTCTAAAATCTAATTTTAACATCTGTTTAGCATCTAATTATGTGCCAAGTTCCATTCTAGCCACTTCACATGTATTATTTCATCTACCTAACAATGCTACCTTTCCTCTGACCCCAACCCGTCACGTCACAAACAAGAAAAGGCTCAAAAATGTTAACAGGTTTCCTAAGAGTCCTGTAAGAAGATAGAGCTAGATTTTACATTGAAGGGGATTTCCCTGGTGGTCTAGTGATTAAAACTTTGTGCTCCCAATGGAAGGACACAGGTTCAATCCCTGGTTGGGGAACTAAGATCCTTCACACCGTGTTGCATGGCCAAAAGGAAGATTTCACATTCCAATTATCAAGATGAATGAGATACAATTCTTAAATAATTTTATCTAGTTTTAATGTTTTGGCTTTTTAATATTTTGTATAGGTGCAAATTAGTGTTATAATTACTACTGACACTATTAAGACAGTATTATTTACCAAAGAATTACTTATAGGCAAAGGCTGTAGTCTTTCAAAGTCTTCAGCTGCAATAGCAATAAAATGTTCAGATGACAGAAGTATCAATCCCACTTTATAGTTCTGGAGTTATCAAGGTACAAGCAGTAGTATTATTAAACACATTTATGTTGGGAAAAAAATCCCAGAGCTTATCTTCCCCACCTCTTCCCATTTTCTCATGGAAAAAAGAAATAACAACACTGCCATTGTAAGCACAATTTGCAGGATTTATATTTCAGTAAGAGAACTATGGCTCATTCATACTTGTCCCAAAGTCTAGCAATTAGAGAATTACAGTGAATGGTTAATGAAACTATGAGACAAGATTCTGATGACTCTAATTCATAATTTAATTACAATTTACAACTAGAAAGTGTTAATAGCAGCTATTGGAAACAGCAATCAATTTAACATTTATAATATAGCATTATTTTCCCAAATTTTAGGAAATTCACACACTGCACAAGCAGAGGAGTTGTGAAATGTTTTCACATACTGGATGGCAACCGAAATAGAGTCCTTAACTTTATGTATATAGAGGTACAAAGACAAGTCCAGTCACTCATCTGCTTTTAACTGAAAAGATATATTTTTTTGCGATTAGTATGCTGTGGTCCATACATTTTAAGACTCAACTACTCTTGACTAAAATTCTCAATTGTTGATGGCACACTTTAAGAGGGACACAGACAAACTAAAGTACAACTAAATCAACAGAAACAAAGCAAATTCTCATGGATGGAATCCTCAGTGCCTTTAGAGTACAGAACACTTGGCACTAATTCCGTAATTAATAATTACTGATTCACATTGCCAAAAAGTTAGAACAAAACATAGTCTCAAGGGGAGGTATTATCATTGTTTTCTAAATGTTAAGATTATCATGCAGACATTTGACTAGGTTATTTCTGTGATGCCTTTAAAGACAAAAAAGAACGAATTGCGGGCAGAATTTGCTTCCAAAGAAGAAATTTTGTGGTACTTTAGAGCTTTCTTATGATCAAAGGGCTGTTTAAAGTAGACACAATCTCGTTCCTGCAAGTATTCTGTGAGTAAGTGAGGATTAGGAAGGACCTAGGAAGAATGGACTACTTCATGCTGAGGCAGTGATTACCAGCGTATTCACCTGAGAGTGGTATGGATTTTGGGAAACTGGCGAGGCTGCTCTCTGACGCACCTTGGAGGTCCCGAAGTCTAGTGAGGTACTGCTGCTGCCCAGGAGCACAGTCTTCACTGTCCAGTGGCTTTCTCTGAGTGAGCCCTTGCTTCTGAAATGTCAACTTCAAACCACCTTCCTGTTAAACAGATGCCATTATCAAGAAAGAAAGGATTAAAATCACTGCAGTATATTAAGAGAAATTTTTTACTTTGAAAAAGTGAGGTAAAAACCCTGAAAAATCAGTCACGTTCTCTTCTTGTTCATACATCAACTAGAGAAAAACATTTAATCAATTTCTATAATGAATATTAAAATTTCTATCTTTAAGTGAAAAAAAATTCTAGGTATTACAGACACTTTTCTGAGCAAAACCAAACTTTTCATGTGACTAGTACATTGTAACCCTTTCAGCGATTGACATATATCTGTGTACATTATTCACATGGCATTTTAAGAGATATTACCCATGTTTTATGCATCAGTTCAGCTTAAAAAATCATACCGAACAATGAAATGTTACTGATAACAAGGCATGCTAAACATTTAAAACAGAAAGTGCACTGACATACCAGTCGAATATTATATAAAAGAACTAAACAATAAGAAATTGTCAGACTGTTTAAGAAAGCATCTTGATCAGCAGAAGGACTATTTTCAGAAGTATAGGTAGAGAAACATATTTAATGATGATCCCTCTAGTAGAATATTCAAGTTTAATAACCTGGATATCAAAAAGAAAAAAACAATCCAAATACCAGAAAACAAGTATGTGAAGGAAGTAAGAGTAAGAGCAGGCAGCCATTTGCAGGAAAAGCATGCTGCACACCGCAATCGCAATCAGGTCCTAGGGCAATAAAAATAAACATACGTCTTTGATTTTCACTGTAAACTCCTTTTCTCGTACATGCTTCTTCACCTTTGACATCTGTGTTGACTGATCGTGTTCTTCTTTGACTGCAGCACCTGCAGGAGGGGGCGCGCTGGGCTCGCTATACTCTGTGGCTGCACCAGAGCTGTCCAGCAGCTTTGTGGTGTAGAAAGAAGCCACTGCGCTGGCATCGTAACTTCTTCTAGCTGAAGGCCACTTCCCTTTCAGGACTGTTTGACAAATACTGTCCAGCCGGTTGATCATCACACGATCCTACAACAGCATGAACATCAAGGGGTAATTTTAGTAATTGAGCCAGACCTTTGGGGATCACAGCTTTGATGGATTTATCCCTGGACATTTTCTCACATACGTATTACAATTCGATATAAATTTCCATTGGTGAAGTTAAAAAATATACTATAAAGATATTTTGCTGTTCTTTTGTTTTTATAAGAGTAATACAGGGTCCTCATAAAAAAATTCAAACAACTCAGAAGTATACAAAAGAGTAGAGAGTTCTCTTCTCTCTCATTTCTAAAGTTAAGTACTCTTCTACTAATCTAGTCACATACTAGAGGAAGGAAGAACGGTCTTAATACAGTCTAAGCTTCCACCACTATATGTACCTGTACTTAAAGGAACATTTTTATAGGTCACAACTGGCTCATAAATTTTCTTAAAGAAGACCCACTTAAAAGCACTTATTTCATAAAGAAGCATCTGAATTGTATGTGAAATAAGCATTCATTATCTTTTCTTCAGAGTATTCTAAGGTTGAGAATCATATACATTTAAGGACATATATCTAATGGAGTAACAGTTGACAGTAATAGTTGTTACCTTTCATGCTAACACCAAATAAATGGTCATCCAACACATAATAGTGACTCTTTTTTCCTACATAAGAATATCTACCATTAAAGATAGAAAAATATTTTAAAAAATGACCTATATCAGCAGCAAACTTACCTTTGGCCAATATGATGCTGCCAGCATGTATCCACCCTGTAGGATGTAAGCAGACTCTGCTGTCCCATTGTTCATCTGGAAACTATCCTGGGTCTCATCCTGGGTAGTGCTCAGTGATGCGACGCTTTCTTCATCGTAGGCTTTCATGTGAGGAGCACCTTCTGCTAAGAATAATTATGACCAATTATAATTGTTTTAAAGACTGTGTAACACACAATTTTGCATATACTTATCAAATCCTATATAATTAGGATTATCAGACATATTTGAAAATGAAAAGTTGAGAAGTAAAAAAAAAAATCATGTAGAATATAATAAAGTACTCATTATTTTTGAAATTATAGCAAAAGCCAAGTAAGTGGCATTACGGAGTTTGAAGGAAAACGTTAACCAAACATCCCTTTCTGCGAGATGATTTGACCTGTGTTAACTCTCTAGGTCTGTTTCCCTGAAAACACATACACTCCTGATTGGTAAACTCAGGAGTTTACCAGTCTAGACTGGGAGGGCACAAATATCTGCTGGGGAGGCTATCATTCTTTCAGGAGGGGACTCTCGTAATTGGGCATGTCCTGTGTGAAAACCCAGAAAGTCATGCTTGTGGAGATGTTACAGGAGATGCTTGCCCTTGTGGCTCTCAGGGTGGCTCCTGTGCCCATGTGATGTTGACTCATTTCCTTACAGTCTTCCCTGGTGGCTCAGTGGTAGAGTCTGCCTGCAATGCAGGAGACCTGGGTTAGATCCCTGGGTCGGGAAGATCCCCTGGGAAAGGGAATGGCTACCCACTCCAGTATCCCTGCCTGGAAAATCTCATTGACGGAGGAGCCTGGTGGGCCCCAATTCACGGAGTAGCAAAGAGTTGGACACGGCTGAGAGACTAAAGCACTCACACTCACTCACATTTCCTTACACCCAAGCTGTCAGACTGCAATAAGGACACCTGCAGAAGAGGACCACCTACCACTACTCTATGGACAGGTTGGAGTTCCTCTGCTAGATATTTCTGAGTAGGGCCAAGTCGGGTCCTGTTAGTCGGACTGGTGTCTATTATAAAATTATTATCTTTATTTGCTCACTGATGAAGTTCTTTTAGGAAAAATACAATACAAAATTTAAGGCAATCACAAATAAATAAAATTATTGTGCCAAGTCTCTCATCCTGTTTGACTAACCCATTTTGCAATGTGAATACTGAATACAGAGTATGAAACAGTAACCTAGTTGTGTTTTCAGCAATCCTTCTTTAAGAAAATCTGTACAGGTAAAATTTAAACTAACAATTTTAAGCATGCTTAAGCAACCTGAATCACTTCTCATTTGCATATGAAATGTCTTAAAATAGCAAAAGCACTTTATGCATATACCTCGCTTTTGGACTTCCTCTTCTTCACTGTCACTTTCTTCTGACGAAGATGAGGAGGAGGATGAGGAAGAGGAAGATGAGGATGAGGATGAAGATGATGCTGAAGAACAAGAGGAGGAAGAAGAAGAGCTAGAGCCTGATCGAGAGTGGGAACACGAAGAGGAGGAAGACGAGGAAGAAGATGATCTGGAAGAACAGGACGATCTCTCAGAATCAGAGTCAGAATCAGAACTAGACTCTGATCCTCTTTTGTGGACTCGCTGCTTCTTAGAAGCTGGGTTTGGAGTTAGAGGCTCTGTTCTGGCTGCAACCATGCGTCTGTCTGTTTCACCTTTTCCACCAGATTTCTGGTCTCCAGTAGCCTGTGGTAAAACACCATTCTTTGGACTTACAGGCTCAGACTTTATTAGTGTCCTGGTTTCCTCAGAAGACATAGACTCTTCTTCAGAAGACTGAGGCTCCTCTTTAAGGTTTTCACTTTTAACTTTCACATCCTCTAGAATAACAGCTTTAGGATCTAGGAGCCTAGGTAGAGAGGTAAGAGGAGAAGCAGAAAGTGCTACTTGATATTGCTGTAAAAGTGGGGTAGAAGTCCTTGAATGAGCCATCTTACTTTGACTGTAGTTCCTCTGAGCGGCCATAAATGAGAGTTCAGGGTCCCGAAGAATGTGATAGTCTGTTCGGCTCACCCCGTGTTTAGCAGCTCCAATGAGCAAGTCCCTATCATGAGAGCCACATTCCCACCAGACTGGTAAGTCTGGATTTGGATGGCAAAGCTTCAAGCGCTCAAACAATTGTGGATGTCGGAGGGCCTGTTCCCTTACTTTCCTTAGAAGTTCAATGCGATATAAAGTCCGAGAAGCACGTTCTTCTGTGATTGGCTGGATAAAAATACTTGGATCCACCAATTCTATATTGAGGTAAGAACAAACATATTACCCTAAAAAATACTTCATTATAGGTTTAAAACAAATAATGCAACTTCTAAAATATATGTATACTCAATATCATTATATAGTTTCAGAATTTCATTTTAACATTTTTAAATGAGGAGAAATATAAGTCTCAGAAATATTAATAACCACATAACACTGGATCTATAGAAAGTTAAATAAACATTAAGATTACTTTGGAAGTGTGTTAATTTAACTAGGACGTACTTTTAAGAAATTCTCTATGAGCTAATGTCACACTACTCTGTTTTAATCAAAGAGAAAAGCACTCAAACTCACTTATAAATATAAATTAAAACTGTTAAAATAACATCCCATAAGCAAACTTAAGTCTGTATATCTTTAAGTGCACTGAGGTAACTCAGAGTATTACAGTGGACTCACAGGGACACCAAAGTCTTTCTTAAAAATTTGATATAAACATAGGAACAATTGTCAAACAGTGTATGACTACTAGTCTGAGACAGTTCCCTTTCAACATCAGACCACACTCTCTTCTTTTTGGTGGGGTCATATCTTTACCAGCAGAGATACTGGCAGTTGGGAAGTACTCAAAAAAAGATAAGAGGCTTGTTGGAATAATGTAGAGACTACCTGAAGAGCTACTAATGGCCAGATTTGGAACAATTTGAACACCAGAATTAACACTGACAGTGCTGGATTATAACCTACAGAATAAAAAATACTCATTTGAATAAATACGAACATGAATAAATAATTGAGTAGACTAGGGAGAAGGAACAGTTTTTCCGTGCAGTAGAAGTGCACAGTTAAAAACTGCTGCAGACAAGATCTACTGATGGTTACTGAAATCAATGGGTGAAAGCTTGAGGAGAATAGGATTTGTGTGGTCTCAAAGTATCTTAAGATATCTGTTAGCTACAGGGGGAACATAATTTTACACTGGAGAAATGCAGCAGAAAGTACCTAAGCTTAACAAAGAATCAAGGGCTACATCATCAGTAATAAGACACACTGACACCATGAGCCCCTTGAGTTACATTCTGAGAAAGACACAACATAATGCTAAGTCACTCTTGCAAAAAAAAGGCATAACCCAACACAATCATGTGAAAACACAAGACAAATCCAAATTGAAGGGTTTTTGGCAAAATTGATCAAAGGCATTAGGGTCATTAAAGACAAAAAAAACCAAACAAACCCAAACTGAGAAACTTATAGACTGCAGGAGGTGAAGGAAAAATAACAATGGAATACAATATGGGCTCTTGGAACAGAAAATGACATCAGTAGAAAAACAGGTAAGACTTTAAAAGGTGTTTAGTTAGGTATTGTACTAATGTTAGTTTCCTGGGCTAATAATTTCAGAGAAGGCAATGGCAACACTCCAGTACTCTTGCCTGGAAAATCCCATGGACAGAGGAGCCTGGTAGGCTGCAGTCCATGGGGTCGCAAAGAGTCAGACATGACTAAACAACTTCAGTTTCACTTTTCACTTTCACGCATTGGAGAAGGAAATGGCAACCCACTCCAGTGTTCTTGCCTGGAGAATCCCAGGGACAGGGGAGCCTGGTGGGCTGGCATCTATGGGGTCACACAGAGTCGGACACGACTGAAGTGACTTAGCGGCAGCAGCAGCAGCATGATTAGTGATATGAGATTTTAACATTACAGAAGGAAAAGTGACGGATACATGAAAACTCCCCACCTGGGATTCAAAATCAATTAAATTGGCTGAAAATTAGCAGGTCTTGATTAATTGCTCTTGTTTTGGTTTTGTTTTCTGAAGGCCCTGGGTGGTTTTTCCTACTAAATTGTCTTTTGAATGGAGGCCTCATTTCTTGCAAAATCATTTGTGCTAAATAACCCCTCCAGCACAGTTTCTATCAGATGGACTAAAAATATAGGTTAGTTCTATTTATCAAAAGTTATCCTTTATTTTCCCACCTCCGACAATCATAAATCTAATTCTAAATAAAAACACTATTTTCTCAAAATTAAATGTGTACTTGTACTCTTTAGTTCTCAATTTCAATAGTAGAATTAAGGAATTAAGGAATTAAGGACTGTTAAGCAGAGTTTAGTTACAATTCAGAAAAACTGGTGAAATGTTGAATTAGATGATACTATATTAAAAATCTGGGAATTTCTGAATTTTAATTCTGTTTCTTTGATTGAAACAAAGGAAAAAAAAAATTTTATTTACATACCTTCTTTGGAAGGAAGACGACAAACCCTCCGACACATAGACATGAAAGCGTACAGATATTTCTCCAAGCTATCGTCAGTTTTCTTATGTAGCCGAGCCATAGCCCTAAATTTTGTCCAATCAAACTGGCCTCTGTCAGGATCAAATACCACTCCAAATGTAGATACAACTCTGTAAAAATCAGCTTCTTCTCTTCTTGTCCATCTATTTTGAATTACAGAAAAAAGTCACATAGCTCATGGAAATAATATTAATGCTGAATATAAATGACTATTGTAAAATTCAGAAACATTTCAGGTACCTAACACTTTAAAAGATTAAATCCAGGATTACTGCCTTACAAACACATTTAAAAATGCTAGTTGACTCATCTATACCCATGCTTCTTTTCCTTCAGACAGTAATGGTTTTTTTGCATACTTAACTGTGTGAAAAAATATGCATGGGCTACAAAAATGTGTAAGACATGACGACCCTCCCTTTGGGAAAAAGATAAAACAGTTCAAACATGTTTACAGTATAAGGTAGTATTTTATAGTTGTATGTATTATAGAAACCACAAGTATAGGATAGCACAGAAGATGGAAGGATTTGTTCAATCTTGAAGAAAGACATCACAGAGTTAAGTGGCATTTATTTACAGCTTAGATAAGACATGGAAAGAAAAAGATGCATGTTATTATAGGATCTTTTATCATTTTGAAAAATGACTAGTTTTATTTAGGTAAGTGCTATGTGAGTGTAGAAAATAAAGAATACTGTGAGCTAGTCTAGTGCAGGAAAAAATCAGCAGAGGATACAGAACCCATGCTGAACACTGAAGGAATAGTAGGGCCATGTATGGACTAAAGAGTTCATAAGAGTATTCTCGGTGACAGGAACAACTTAAGTAGGATACTGAATCAAGACTAAGTGGGGCAATTCAGGCTGAGGAAATAGTAGTAAATAAAATTATAAATGCATGCTAAGACCTAAACTGAAGAGACTCTTGAATTAAGGCTTAAGAAGTTAAACTTTATCCTTGTACTAAATAAAGGGCCACTGAATACTAGGATAAAACTAAAACTTTAGGAAGATTATCTAAATCTTCCAGACTGAGGGAAAATGTATGTGGTAGACTGAAGACGGCCACAAATTCTTTGCCATTCTTCCATTTGAGAGGTGCAACTCATTTCCCTTAAATTATGGTTGGCCCTATGACTTTTTGACCAATAGTAGGTGGCAGCTGTTGACTCTGTAACTGCTGAGGCTAGGCCATAAAAAACCTGCAACTTCATCAACCTTTGCCATTTGGAATATTCCCTCTTGGAAACTGCCTGCAATGAAGGAGACCCAGGTTTGATCCTTGGGTTGGGAAGATCCCCTGGAGAAGGAAATGCCAACCCACTCCAGTATTCTTGCCTGGAGAATTCCACGGACAGAGGAGCCTGGTGGGCTGCAGTCCATGGGATCACAGAGTCAGACGTGACTGTACAACTAACTCTTGATTTTCAAACCCTCCCCAGACTCCAGCCAACACCATGGGAAGCGGAAGAACCACCTGGTCAACCCACAGAATTGTGAGAAACAAAAAACTGATGTTGCTTTATGTCACTGTGTTATGGGATAGGTGGTTATGCAAGGACAGATAACTGAAACAGTGTGTTTACAAAGGCAGCAGCATTTGAGTATTACATCTAGGATAGCTAAAATCTTAAGTGTCAGACTAAATTCTGGTTACAATGAATGTGCCTCAAGTGAAACAAAGGAACAATGATTTATCTTTCAGAAAAAATCCAAAGATCCAGGTTTAACAAGGAGGCCAGGTTATTGCTAAACTTTCTTATTCTTTTCCAAGGATCCTATCCTTTTTAAGAAGTTAAAGTTTTGGGGATGAGAGAAGTGTGCCTGTCCTCCTAACAAGATCTCTTGCAAGAAGTTCTACTACTATTTATTTCCCTTTGACATCAGTAGCTTTAACGGTTCATCCTCTGTAAAAAGCAGAGATGAACTTCTCTTTCATGAATTCTGTACTTCATTAATGTCATCGTGTAAAATAAGACACAATGGAATTTATTTCATGTAATTTAAAAATACATTTCATTTATAACTTAATTGTTGAGTTTTCACCTTCATTTCCCTTACACCTCACTGTTCATAAACATGAATTACACATAAAATAAGACCTAGTAACTGTAAAATGCAACCTGGTATTAGTTTAACCATCTTTGTATGTGCATATACTTATATACACGTGTAAGTATGCATAAAGCATTTTGCTTTGACCAACTTCTCTACCTAGATATGTTTTTAGCAAACTGAGATAATCATAGCCTAACAGACTTCAGAATGAATAGTATATTTAGATACCATCTATTAAAAACTTAGTCTTACCTCTGCTGTCTTTCTATCTTGGCTGCCATTTTAGGGTTAAGAGTGGCTTCTTCATAAAGAGGCTGCATAACACTGGCAGGCACAGGGAAAGTTGGATCTTGTTGGATTTGTATCTGTTGGATTTGTCTGTTTTTATTAGTACGCTGATAGGCAGTAATGAGACGCCTCAAACGGGTAGTTAAAGCTGACTGAGTAGGCCAATAAATTTTGTCACCCTCCATCAGCTGACCATCTACATTTAAAGAAACTCATGTCAATTAAAAAAAACACACAACTAAAAAACAAACACACAAAAAACTCAATAGATACTGCCACGAAGCTCACAAAAGCAGCAATATTTCCCTACTTAATTTTTTTCTTGTAATTCAGTTAAGTGAAAAGCAAAAACAAATCTCTTTTAAAAAAGCTTTAATTAGAGCTCTAACAACTAAAAATACTGTTAAACTTTCAATCAACTATGTTTTATAATGATTGCAACTGTCTTCAATAAATTTCACGTACATTTGAAACATATGATAGTGTACTAGTTTACTGATCTCATGGTATCATGGGAATGCTAATTTACAACAATACTAAAGAAAGAAAGAAATGTTATTTACCTCCATCTGCTATAACAAGATCTCCCGGTGAGGAAACATCATCCTTTCAAAAGAAAACAGAAATGTGTCATAGGGAAACTGGGTCAAGATACAGTAAGAGAATCGATTTTCTTTATAATACTTTGTTTTGCAAAAGAATTTTAAAAATTTATTTAAACTAAAAAAACTCAAACCAAAAACAGTTCACTCATTTCCACCTCATCTCTAACTCCCAGCCTCTGGCAAGCACAATCTGTTCTCTTTATCTATCAATTTAGTTTAAAAATATGTTCTTTTTTAGATTCCACATATTAAGAGATCATACAGTATTTGTTTTCCTCTGACTTATTTCACTTAGCATAATGTTCTCAAGGTCCATCCATGCTGTTGCAAAGGAGAAGATTTCATTTTTTTTAAAGACTGAATAATATTCCATTGTATACATATATACATAAACATAGACATGAAAACGTGTGTTATGTATATATATCTTTCACAATCTCTTTACCCATTTTTCCATCAAGAGACACTTAGGTTGTTACCACATCTTGGTTATTATAAATAATACTTGAAACAACATGTGATCGGGGTGCATATATCTTTTCAAATTTGTGCTTTCTTTAAAGGCTAAGTACCCGTAAGTTTGACTGCTGGATCACATGACAATTTTTAATTTTTAAGGAATTTCCATACTGTTTTCCATAGTGGCTACACCAATTTACATTCCCGCCAACAATGTACAAGGTTTCACTTTTCTCTGCATCCTATCCAATACTTGTTATTTCTAATCTTTTTGATAATAGTCCTCTGCTTACTATGGCCATACCCTCAGCCCTCGTGGGGACAGGATCCCTCCCTGGGTGCTGTATCTCAGCCTTAGGAGCAGTGGCTATTCTTACATTCTTTAGAGTTCCCGACACTTCTTTCTACTCTATCTCTCATTATTTCAATTCCTCTATCACAATCAGTAAGTCTTTACATCAAGCTTTCCCTATGGAAATTACTATGTGGTTTCTCTCTTTTTGGCTCAAACTGATTCATCATGCTACATTTTGGATAATCTCCTCTATATTGTAAATAATTTCTTCTCTCATGAACTGTGTCTAATTTGCTTCTCCAGCACAAGGTTTAACTTATTTGTTGAGTTTAAATTTCAAGGTCAATATTTTCCACTTCTAAAGTTACATATAATTCTTCTTCACATGTCCCTTTAAAAATCATATGCTTTAAAAAAAAAAATCATATGCTTTCTTTTGTTCTGTTCTTAGTTCTTTCTTTAATCAGTAAAAAATTTATTTTCTATTTTAGGAGATCTATTATTAGAAATTCTTAGAGATCTAATCTTGTTCTTTGTTGTATTTGCTAACATGAATTCATGGTAAATTGTTCCTCATAGATGAAGTTTTGGATTTTGACCTTATTTCATGGAAGGCTATCTTCAGGACGCAAATATAATCTCAACTGAAGTTGTTTCTTCTATTAGTTCTTTATCTTTGTTTGTTTTCCTTCACCAGGTACCTCAAGGGTATTACCAGCTTGGGATCTCTTTTTATATCACATTTTTTGCCTTGAGAATTCCTGGACCATGCAGATTGAAAAAAAAAAAAAGAAATCAAACCATAAACTCAAGAAAAGGTAGGCCTATGGTTATGAATTCTCAGGGGAGATAATTTTCTCCTTACCTGAAGCCCATGCTGAGATAAATTTCCATGTTTTCACGCGCAGTTTGGCGGGAAGTACTACCCTTTAAGGGTTCTGATTTTACTGGATATCATTCTCACCGGTACACACTGGCCTAAACCTCATCTTTCTTCCTCAATATCCCATTCCCTTGGCAACCAAGGCCAGCAAATCCTACCTGACAGCCACAGCATTGTTTAGTCTTTACTATGTTCTCAGAAATACTGGAAAAATTCCTCTCCTCTTTTAATATCATTTCTCCAATCCAACAGATTCTTTTCTGCACTTTCAACAACTCTTTTTCTTCCTTTTGACTTTCTATAAACAGAACACTTAGAATTGTGCTTTAGCAGCTCAAAATTCCTCCAGGCTCTACCCTCTATTTCAAACTGCTTTACGGAGGCCCAGTTTCTGACTGTTGCTGTGTGCCTTCAGCATCTAGTTCTCACTCTGCTTTGGGATTTTGCCCCTGAATACTGTCTCTTTGGTTCCTAGCAGTGTAGCATGTTGGCAAGTTTCATTTCATCCATATGTCCAAACAAGTCTCCAGCTTGTCTAGAAGAGGAGATCAAGCAAATTCTAAATGCTTATTTGTGATGTCTGGCAACCTATGTTGGTCACTATCTTGAGAGAAATGATGCATAATAAAAACATATGAAGGAAAAACACACAAAAGAAAAAGCAAGCAAAAGAAAACATGGATAACTAGAATTGATGACTTAAAAACATGATCCAAAGCATACCTCTATATCATCTTTAAAGACAGCTGGGGCAGGTTTGTATTCTGGATCTTCCACATCCCTGTTAAATACCAACAAATGCCATAATTATTGTTCCTGAACTTCAAATTTCCCTTGGCTGGACAAACAAACGGGGTACTGTTGGAAGGACTTTTTAATATGTTTTAAAGGTCAGACCGAAGTCTCTGTTGTTTAGCCAGAGGAGCTCGCCTAATAGCATGATGGCAATTACATGGCAAGTCAGAAGAAAGCTAGTTCTAATTTACTCTAATTTACCCCCAAACTCACTTATAAATGTGGTATTAATCTTAACATAGACTCTTACTTTTCTCTTTCAGTGAGAAAAGAAACAGGTATAATGAACATCATATTTCTCTTCAATTGTGTATGCTTAGCTTTCTTTTTCCCTTTTACACCTTCAAAATTTTATGGGCTTAATTGCTGTGACTACTAAGAATGGACAAGTGAAGAACTCATCAAATGAATGGGTGTGGGGAACGTCCAGTCCCTTTCTTCATTCACACTCTGTTCGACAAGTGCTAATTTATTACACTCTAATTAGCTACTACTACTTTATTTAAAGAGAAACATCACTGACAGAACACAGCTGATGTTGACAGAGATATACGGAGAACTCATGCTTCTGAAATGCACGTACCCATCCATATAATCATTTGCCCTCTGTTCCGCAGCAACTGCTTTCTCATCAGGTTTTCCTACTCGTTCCAAAAAGCACAATGCTGGGTCTGCTCGGATAGTGTTATACTTCTCATAACCTAGAGGGACCACCAATTTTGGAAGTAAAAAGGATAAAAAGAAGAAAAACATGTAAGTATTTCTCATATTTATGATGGGTGATGTTCCTTCACTAAAGGGACCATATATTAAAATGATACAGGTTACACATTTTCTAGAAATTATCACAAACATTACATGGTCTGATAATAAGTATATTTAGGAATTTAGATTAAATTTATCAGTTAAGCTGAAAAAGAAAAAACTGATCACATGCAACAAATTTCACATGAAAACTCTTCCTGAGAGGGAATGTTACATGAGACATGTCTGGGAGAAGCAGTTTATATATGCCACCCACTCAGAAGAAAATGTAGTGAATGATGGACAGTTCGAGAGTGCACGCTTTATATATATATTCAATGGGTGTTACTGAAATAAAGCTGTAAGTGGAAATAAAAAAATTAAGACATAGCTGACTTAACAGTATACAGAGATGAAGACTCTACTTATCTTACTTCTCACTTACCATGTTTAAAAACTCCAATAAGGAGTGACTTATCAGCATCAAAATCCCACCACTCAGCTGGAACTTCTGAGTGGTCTGGTTCTGGGACCCAAACATCAATGTCACTTAAAAAAAAGCATGATACGAGTTTATGGGTTACTATAAACAAGTCTAAGAGGAGGCAAAATTTTACATAGCTTATAAAAAGCATTGTGGTTTTTAACAAAAAAAGGATATAACTTTATTTTCTTATTTCCCACAATTATCACCAATTAAAATTATAAAATTGCACAATAACTACAAAGATATCATAAAATGAATTAATAATTTTAAGCACAACAGAAGTAAGTTTCAACAGGTTTACTTTATCCTTAAGGAATAATAGTCTTTCCACTGATTTCCTTTAGATACAGACAAAAATCTATCTGATTATGTCAGCAAACAATGTGGCCAAAATCATCTGGTTCAAATTTTTTATTTTGTATATGAGGAGAGTGAACCCCTAAAAAAGCAAATCAATTGCTCCAGGCTGTAAAACAAGTTATGTCTCTTTTAGACTGCTATTGCTAGGAACAGGAAATCAATCCTGAATCAATCATCGGAAGGACTGATGCTGAAGCTGAAGCTCCAATACTTTGGCCCCCTGATGCGAACAGTCCACTTATTAGAAAAGGCCCTGATGTTGGGAAAGACTGAAGGCAGGAGGAAAAGGGGATGACAGAGGACGAGATGGTTGGATGGCATCACCGACTCAATGGACATGAGTTTGAGCAAGCTCTGGGAGATGGTGAAGGACAGGGAAGCCTGGAGTGCTGCAGTCCATGGGGTCGCAAAGAGTCGGACGCGACTGAGCGACTGAACAACAGCAACAGTTGCTAGCAAGTCATGCTGAAAAACTACGTGCTGCTTACAAGTGGGGAGAATGCAGGTTTTTGATTAGTGATTTGATGGAAACACTCCAAGTGCTATTTTTATGCTGTTTATAATACCATGCCACAAAATGACAATATGATAATTTACTAAAACCACAATGATAAATCCATGATGCTCTGGTAATGTGGTGGTTTTCATTAATATAAAACAATTACAGCACTTATAATTTTATAAATATAACTTCCTTTTCCTTTATCACTTGAAATTATTATTTTCCCAGAAACATTTCTGCAAGTAACACACCTCTGAAGTAATATACACCTCTAAAAAGGGAAAGATGCCATGCATAAAAGGAATGAAATGTTCACTTCTTTACCACAGAGATTCAAACCATTTAAAAACACAACACATAAAAAAAACCCGACAAATTTAGTTGCATTTCATCTCTTCATCGTAGCATCATAAATTTTATAAATCAATTAACAAAGGACTATGGATGTAAGATATGAAGAGTTTCCTAAGTTGTGTGACAGAAGTTCATCTATAAGTTGGTTATCTTTGGGAATTCAAAATAAACTTTCAGATAGAAAATAAGTGATCAATGTTTCTGGTCTCGTCCACAAGAACCTAATACTTAACCACTAATGTAGCTGAAATAAAAGACACTGACAGTGAAAAAGAAAGAGTTATAAGTTTTATAAGTAATTAAAACATAAGAAAATCACTGTTTATTTTTCATAAGTATTTTGCCAGGAGACTGAAAGACATTTTTCGGCATTCTAAAATGCACATCTCATTATATCTTATTTTGCTTAAGAAGAGAAGTGTCACAGTCACAATATTTTTTAGTTTAGTGCAGGAAGAGGAAGAGAGGTTTTCCTGTGATATGGCAAAAGCTGAAAAAAGATGAGGAAAAATACAGTTAAATAAGATACTTAGTTTTGATTGCATTCCTGGTCAGGATTAATCAAAGCAGAAGCATGAAAGATAAAGGAATAAGAGGAAAGAACACTGGAGACAGGATACCCAAAGGGGAATCATCAAGCGGGTCAGATATGTATTTCCCTTTACAAACCATCAGGTGGCACTCTAAACTCAAAATACTGTGACATCTGAGGTGGAAGGTATTTTTCCTTCTTTTAAAGAGTAAAGGGGGCTTCCCTGATAGCTCAGGTGACTCCAGTTCGATTCCTGGGTTAGGAAGATCAGCCGGAGAAGGGAAAAAGCTACCCACTCCAGTATTCTGGCCTGGAGAACTCCATGGACTGTATAGTCCACGCGGTCCCGAAGAGTCAGACAGGACTGAGTGACTTTCACTTTACAGAATTCCCTGAAGCTCAAACAGTAAAGAATGTGCCTGTGATGCAGGAGACCAGGGTTTTAGGGTGGGAAGTTCCTCTGGAGAAGGGAATGGCAATCCACTCCAGTATTCTCGCCTGGAGAATTCCATGGACAGAGAAGTCTGGTGGGCTACAGTCCGTGGGGTCACAGAGTCGGACACGACTGAGCGACTAACACACACAAAGAGTAAGGGGCACTCAGTATATACCTCATGGTTTAAATGTGCCATATGCACGTTAAGTGTTCGTTAACTGCTGGGGAAAGGAATACAATAAGGTGCATATACTCCTGTTGTTAATTTCTGCAATCTCTTGCATAAAGCCTCTGACTTCCCCTGGCCAGATCATCCATGCAAAATAGATTTAAACAGTATTCACTATGTGCTAACAATGGCAATAACAAGATAGACATAACCCTGCCCTTCTGAAGAAGTATCTGCAAAACCTCTTCAATACCTGTGATGAGTGCTGTGACAAGGCACCCAGCTGAGAGGACAGGGAGGCTGAGTTGATGTCTTCTGAGTAGTAAGAGAGGGAGAAGGGAGGAAAATGGGAAAGAGAATGTTGCTCCAAGAATGCAAAGGCCCGGAGGAAATGAGGGAGTGTGTTGACAGAGATATGAATCCGTTAAAATCCAAATAAAACCCAAATCAGAAGCCAGCGAGGGAGAGAATAATGAAAGAGGATAATTCAAAGATCACAGTTCCTAGAAATCACAAGAGGGCTGAATTCAATCAGATCAAAGAAAAAGAGGAGCTGATAAGTCAACAACAAATTATATTTACTGATTGTTACTATGTCCCAGGCTCTAGGGGCTAGGAATATGATCATCAATAAGACGGATAGCATATGTCACCTTGAATCAGCTTAAATTGTACTGACAGGAAAAATACAATTTAAAAATAAATACAAAACACTGATGAAAGAAATCAAAGAGGACACAAACAGATGGAGAAATATACCGTGTTCATGGATTGGAAGAATCAATATTGTCAAAATGGCTATACTACCCAAAGCAATCTATAGATTCAATGCAATCCCTATCAAACTACCAACAGTATTTTTCACAGAACTAGAACAAATAATTTCACAATTTGTATGGAAATACAAAAAACCTCGAATAGCCAAAGTAATCCTGAGAAAGAAGAATGGAACTGGAGGAATCAATCTGCCTGACTTCAGACTATACTACAAAGCCACAGTCATCAAGACAGTATGGTACTGGCACAAAGACAGAAATATAGATCAATGGAACAGAATAGAAAGCCCAGAGATAAATCCACGAACCTATGGTCACCTTATCTTTGACAAAGGAGGCAAGGATATACAATGGAAAAAAGACAACCTCTTTAACAAGTGGTGCTGGGAAAACTGGTCAACCACCTGTAAAAGAATGAAACTAGAACACTTTCTAACACCATACACAAAAATAAACTCAAAATGGATTAAAGATCTAAATGTAAGACCAGAAACTATAAAACTCCTAGAGGAGAACATAGGCAAAACACTCTCCGACATAAATCACAGCAGGATCCTCTATGACCCACATCCCAGAATTTTAGAAATAAAAGCAAAAATAAACAAATGGGACCTAATGAAACTTAAAAGCTTTTGCACAACAAAGGAAACTATAAGCAAGGTGAAAAGACTGCCCTCAGATTGGGAGAAAATAATAGCAAACGAAGCAACAGACAAAGGATTAATCTCAAAAATATACAAGCAACTCCTCCAGCTCAACTCCAGAAAAATAAATGACCCAATCAAAAAATGGGCCAAAGAACTGAACAGACATTTCTCCAAGGAAGACATACAGATGGCTAACAAACACATGAAAAGATGCTCAACATCACTCACTATCAGAGAAATGCAAATCAAAACCACAATGAGGTACCATTACACACCAGTCAGGATGGCTGCTATCCAAAAGTCTACAAGCAATAAATGCTGGAGAGGGTGTGGAGAAAAGGGAACCCTCTTACACTGTTGGTGGGAATGCAAATTAGTACAGCCACTATGGAAAACAGTGTGGAGATTTCTTAAAAAGCTGGAAATAGAACTGCCATATGACCCAGCAATCCCACTTCTGGGCATACACACCGAGGAAACCAGATCTGAAAGAGACACGTGTACCCCAATGTTCATCGCAGCACTGTTTATAATAGCCAGGACATGGAAGCAACCTAGATGCCCATCAGCAGACGAATGGATGAGGAAGCTGTGGTACACATACACCATGGAATATTACTCAGCCATTAAAAAGAATTCATTTGAATCAGTTCTAATGAGATGGATGAAACTGGAGCCCATTATACAGAGCGAAGTAAGCCAGAAAGATAAAGACCATTACAGTATACTAACACATATATATGGAATTTAGAAAGATGGTAATGATAACCCTATGTGCAAAACAGAAAAAGAAGACTCCTATGTATAGAACAGACTTGTGGACTCTGGGAGAAGGTGAGGGTGGGATGTTTCAAGAGAACAGCATCGAAACACGTATATTATCTAGGGTGAAACAGTTCACCAGCCCAGGTTGGGTGCATGAGACAAGTGCTCGGGCCTGGTGCACTGGGAAGACCCAGAGAGATTGGGTGGAGAGGGAGGTGGGAGGGGGGACCGGGATGGGGAATACATGTAAAAAAAAAAAAAAAAAAAAAAGATACACTATGGTTGTGAAAAAAAAAAAAAAATGTATGATTTACTAAAAAAAAAAATTAAAAAAAAAAAAATAAATACAATTTTTAATACTAGTAGGCATCATGAATGAGTTAAAGTAAGGTTAAGTCATAGTCAGTGACTGGTGGGCTGCTCTAGCTAGAGTGGGCTGGGAAGGCCTATCTGCAGAGTGAAACCTAAGCTGAGACCTGCATGATGGGAGCAGGCACTTCTGTGGAGAAAGAGGGGAAAGAGTATTTGCACTGGGCAGACAGCACAGAATGAGCCTGACATGCTGGAGGGACACTGTGGGTGAAAGACAAAGTAGAGCAAGAAGGCCCAGACTGATGTAGGGCACTGCAGGATGGGTCTCTATTCTATGAGAAATGAGAAGGTTCTGAGAAGAGGATTGCCTTGGCCTGATTTTTGCTTTACAAAGATCACTCTGGCTTCTGTATCAAGGTCCAACTGTAGAGAGGTAAAAGATGCAAAAATGGGAATTCCCTGGCAGTCCAGGAGTGGTTAGAACTCTGTGCTCCCACTGCAGGGGGCCTGGGTTCAATCCCTGGTCGGGGAACTAAGATCCTGCAAATCGTGGGGCCGGGCCAAAACAACAACAACAAAAATCCAACTACTCTTGAAAAAGAAGAGGCAAAGGGACTCAATAAGGAGGCCATAGAAAAGTCTAAACATGAGATGATGGTGGCTTGGACTAGGGAGTCAGCAGAGGAAAGAGGAAAAACGTGCTCAGACTTTGCATATACTTTGTCAAGCTAGCAAGTCTTCCTGCAGGGTTTGAGAAGAGAATAATCAAGAATGATACCAGAGCAACTGGGTGGTAGATTTACTAGGATGGAGAAGGCCCATATGTGGGAAGGTGGGGAGGCAACAAAAGGAGACAGAAGATTGGAAAATGCAGGGGAAGACTGAGATGTTAATCAGATATTTCAAGTGGAAATGTTTGAGGCAGCTGCTTTAGACCTTAGAGCTGAGGGGAAAGGTCTGGGATGAATATGTAAATATGACAGTCATCTATGTATAGATCACATTTGATATGATGAGGCTGCATAAATTCACCTAAGGAGAAAGAACAGACAAGAAAGCAAGCTGAGGACACAGCTCTTGACCAATCCAACATCTAGAGATCTATCAGAGGAACTGTTGTTTAGTGTCCCAGTCACATCCTACTCTTTGCAACCCCGTGAACTGTAGCCTCCAGGCACCTCCATCCATGGGATTTCCCAAGCAAGAATACTGATGTGGGTGGCCATTTCCTTCTCCACGGGATAGTCCCGACCCAGGTCTCCCGCATTAGCCGATGGATTCTTAACCGCTGAGCCACCTGGGAAGCCTCTATTAGAAGAATACGAGCTAGCAAAGGAAAAGACGACCAACAAGGGAGAAAAGAACCACCAGGCGGGTGTCGAAGCATGGATGTCTCCTGAAGACATCATTTCAACAAGGGAGAAACAGAGTAAGTTCAGAGACATCTAAACTTCACACTGGAGATTATTAGTGGCCTCACTAAAAATCACTTCAGTCAGAGAGTGAAGATACAGCATTAACTGGAACAGGCTGAAGAGAAAATGCAAAGTAAAGAGGTGTAAGATTATCAACCCACACAGCTCTCTATTTTTGTGAAGGAGAGCAGAGAAATGGATTAGAAGGATGTACCTCTATTATAGTAGGTTTTTTGTTCTTTTTAAAATGAATGACATTAAGAAACGTATATATGCCAAGAGAATGATTCAGTAAAGAGTGGGGGAAATGATGACTCAGTAAACAAAGGTGTAAAATCTTTAAAAGGTAAGAGATGAGTTCCAAGCATAAGGGCTGCTCTAAGGAGGGTGAGGAGGAGGATTTCTAGGGCATCCCGAGAGAAGGAACAAATAGGGGAACACACACGACAAGTAGAACTGAAGGTAGCTCTTGTCTGTTTCTATTTTCTCCATGAAATATATACCAAAGTCATTACTGGAGGAGATGCTAGTAGGATACGAAGATGGTTTGAGGAGAGAGGAATGGAATGGTCCTCTTGAAGAACCAGTAAATGAACTTTCTGGTCATGTTGGTTAAACATCTTATTTGTGTTTAATCACATGTGAGATTAATGATCATAAATTTGAAGTGAGTCATTGGCAGAGTTTGTGTGATTTTCTCCAGCAATGTTCAACTGCTTAGTTATAGGCAAAAAGGTAAATGGATTTTGAAGTTTAACATGAATTGGGGTTGTGTCATGTATGTAGAACAGAGGGAAAAGCAGGCAAAGAATTTTAGTGAGTACAGTGCTAGACTACAGAATGGTTATTTATAATGAGGAAAGTGGGGGATGAAAGTGATGATGCATAGTAGGTGGTAACATGTGGACACCAACACCATGATGAAGCTAGAGAATTACAGTTTTAGGGCTTAGATATGGTAGTAGGAGCCCTAAAACTTAATTTTTCCTCCTTCTTACTACAATGAGAAACTGCTGCATCCTCATGTGATCCATCCAGTACCTTGGTCTCTCAGTTCCTTGACCTTTACATCATCTTTTTTTCCTCTCTACCTCAGCCACACATGCACACAGTCATATACTTAATCTTACCATCACCAATAGCAGCATAATCTCTTCAATCAGAATTCCAACTGTCAGTTCCTTCCAACTCAATTAACTTGGGTACTTTTCACTGTAATTCTCTAGCTTCACTATGGTGTCCCCTATCTTACCACTTACTATCCATCATCACTTTCATCCCCCACTTTCCTCATTATAAATAACCATTCTGTAGTCTAGCACTGTACTCACTAAAATTCTTTGCCTGCTTTTCCCTCTGTTCTACATACATGACACAACCCCAATTCATGTTAAATCTAAAAATCCATTTACCTTTTTGCCTACAGCTAAAGAGTCGGACACGACTGAGCGACTGGACTGAACTGAACTGAACTGAACTGAAGTGAAGCAGTGAACACTGCTGGAGAAAATCACATGAGCCCTGTCAAATGACTTACTTCAAACTTATGATCATTAATCTCAAATGTGATTAAACACAAATGAGCTGTTTCACCACCACGACCAGAAAGGAGGGCTTCCCTTCTGGCTTGGCCAGTAAAGAATCTGCCTGCAATGCAGGAGGCCTGGGCTTGATCCCTGGGCTGGGAAGATCCCCTGGAGGAGGGAAAGGCTACCCACTCCAGTATTCTGGCCTGGAGAATTCCATGGAGTGTATAGCTCATGGGGTCGCAAAGAGTCGGACACGACTGAGCGACTTTCACTTCACATGGTAGTAGGAAGCTACTACTACTGCTATTTTCACTCTTCTTCTTATAATCTTCAGTGACAGAGCCAACAATGAGATTAATAGACAAAGGCAACAAATTGACAAGGATTACTCTAAATTTCGAAGATTTTCCTTTCTGTGAATTTCACTGAATAAAGAGTCACTTAATATACAATTTCCTGGTCATTTATTATGTTGCTAAAAAATAAACATGTTATTTACCTTGCATCAACTCCATCAAAAACTTTCTGACACTCATTTCCAATGACTTCTTGTTTTAGATAATACAGCATTCTTACACGAAGCAAAACTCTAAAAATGAGGGAAAAAAAATCAAAAGACATTAATCATCATTAAAGAAAATTCATCCATGGGGTTAAAATTAAAAGAATTTGTATAGTGAAATAATTAACAATTACTTCTGATTAAATTAACCCATTACTATGTGTGTGTGTGTGTGTGTGTGTGTGTATAATAGGTGTCTCCAAAATCTTCACAATCATCATTATTTAACAGCCAAGTAAGACACAACACGATCACTTGGAGGTCAGTTTTATTTCTCTCTCTGTTGATGAAAAGTGACACAAGAGGTACCATGATTTGCTGAAGGATATCCTATAAGATTAAGATTAGGATTGGTCCTAGACCACACTGTCTTCGTACTCCAAATTAGCATGATTTAAGATTGTTAAAAGTCAGAAAAGTAAACTTTTAATGAGTTGTGTTAAAAATATCCCACTACCTACTTATTACAGTGGTGTTTTATATGTTTTTTGTAGCCTTCATCTTGAAGTAGTTGTTCAGGATTGTATTTTCGAAGCCATTCTGCTTTTTGTATATCAAATGAGCTTGTTTGAGTCTTTACTTTCTTTCCTTTTCGACCTCTCGGTACCGGGGCTGACAGTCCTATTGAAATGAGGACAAGTGAAATCAGGGATAATTGGTATAAAGATGTTCTGTTTGAAACATTTTTACAATGCAAGCAACTTCTGGAGGCTTTCAGAGGTCTGTGGAGGCTATACAGAGATCTTTGAAATGTTAATGGTACCAATATTAACTCAATTACAAGATAAGTCAATACAATGACTCCGTACATATTAACATGATTTCTGCCAAACACCCAATTTAGTATCTCTAAGCAATCATTCTGATTACCTTTATGTTCTAAAACATTTTTTTCTAAATGTAAAACCCAAAAGATCAAACCTTTCCCTGTGCTTTACTTTTTGCTTCCTTAGTTACAAAAGTGTAAGTTGTGGTTAAATGATCTGTTTTGCAAGAGTATGTTTACTCTTCTTTCAAAATCATGGTATACTTGAAGTATCTTTTCAAATATTAATATTTTAGAAGTTTTGTTTTTATAGTCTTTGTTTCCTACAATTACATTTTAGCAATTTGTTTTAGTCTCTCATTCATGTTGGAGACTTTCCTCAGATTTCTGATACTCTTGGTTATTTGCTCATATTTAAGAAAGAAAGGAAAACTGACTGGCAGTCTGAATGAATGGAGATGACTGTGGACTGACTCTTTGAAGGGTAATCTGGCTGGCTTTTTCCTGTCATTATCTTTATGTTTTGCTCTGGTCAGATTAAACCAAGGAAAATGTCTTAGTTTTCTTCCTTGAATATGCCATTGTCCATTATACGTATTAATTTAACAGTCATTTGGTAAGTCCATGTTGCGAATCCCAATGCAATGCAGACCTTATTTTATTTTCTCTAGAGAATAAACATTCAGTCAGTCTTCCTAACATGGCTATATGGAACTGAAGAGGGTATTTAGGGGTCTGATCTCGCCTTTAAACAACTTCTAATCAAAGCCCCTGTCTTTTATACCCACTTTCAGAGGTCATGGATGTCACAAACTCCTGAAACTTTTGGATAATCTATTAAGCAAAATCAGTTGGTTGTTGCCCATTCCTAATGTTGCCCTAAGATTCAGTTCTCTCCGGTTAGTTAAGTTAGTTACCACTAATCTAATGCTCTGAGATTCCAAAATTCCTTTCCCACCCTGTCTGTTTTTAAAGGTTTATTCTTATTTATTTTTAAATTATGTAATTGAGTATATACAAAAATAGATGGAATAATATGATGGAGCACTGGGTCCTATCTTCCAACTTCATTATCAATTCACAGCCAATTTTGCTTCATCTATATTATGTTTGCTCCCCAAACTCCAATACTATTTTGAAATAAACTGAAGACAATAATCACCTCTAATAAATGTCTGAGTCTTTTAACACATGTAAAAGACCTTCTAAAAAAAAAAATTTACAATACCCTACAAACATGTCAGCCCCAAGAAATGCAATAATACTTACTTAATATTTAGTATTCAAATTTATAATTATTTAATAAAAATAACAGAAAAATTTCCCCCGGGCTGCTGCTTTCAATCAGGATCCAAATAAGGCTCACACATTATAACTGGCTGAGGACATTTAAATCTTTCAGATTATAGCAGGCTTTTCAATCCTGGCACTACTGTTATTGTGAGCGGCACAGTTTCTTACTGTGGGTGCTGGCTGTCATTCATGGCCTCTACCCATTAGATGCCATTAACATCCTTGAAGTTGTGACAACCCAGAGTGAGAGCAAGACTGGGGCACAAAATCATGTCTGGTTGTGAACCACTGATTTATAGATACCCTCTCCATTTCCTTCCGTTCTACTATTTAAGAAACTAAAATTTTTACCTGTATACTTCATCAAGCTTAAAGCCTTGAATTTTTTCCTCTTTATTGACATTTAAGTTGGGTTTTAAGGAAGAATGAAATTATATTTGTGTAATATATACAATCTTGTATCTTTACCAGAAATCAGCTCTTCACATTAATAATTTCATTCCCTCCTGTTGGGATAGAACCCCAATGACCACCCCAAATCTAAACCATGTGCTTTCTGTTGTTCTCGATCTCAGTCCTTGGTTTATTTCCTTCACAGTATTCATCATAATCTACAAGTATTCAGGTAATTTCATTTTGTTGGGCTCCAAAATCACTGAGAATGTAACTGCAAGCCACAAAATCAAAAGACACTTGCTGCCTGGAAGAAAAGCTATGGCAAACCTAGATAGCACATTAAAAAGCAGAGCTATCACTTTGCTCACAAAGGTCCATATAGTCTAACTCTGCCAGACCAGAATGTAAGGTTCATGAGCTCAGAGATCTTGTCTGTGTCATTCCTTCTCATTTTCCCAGTACTTTGCAGAGAAGCACATGACAGGTGCTCTAACAGGTATTTGTTGATTAAAGGGAACAAAACTGTAACACAAATTTAAGGGCATAGTCATCTTCTTTATCTTTATAGAAAATTTAGTTATTTTATGTAAAAAAAAGAATGTTCTGTTAGCAAGGTTACAAAGATTACAAAGAAAAATTTCCAGCCCTTTGATAAGACTATAAATTGGCATAGCCACATTTGATGGCAAATTAAAATATTTTTTAAAAATTAAATGGATTATCACTGTTTTCCAAATTTTAATATACATACTAATTGCTGAGGAACTTGTTAAAACGTAGATTCTGATGCAGTAGCTCTGAGGTCTAAGATTCTTCATTTCTAAAAAGCTCCTGGGAAAGGCTCACAGACCACATTTTAGATGCTATGGATGTATATATGCTGTACTTCAACAATTCCATTTCTTGATATTTACTTTAGTGAAAGATTGTTCCTGTCCACAACGAGGAATGTACAGGGATCTTCACTGATACCTATTTTTCAATTGTCTAAAACTGGAAATGTCTTAAATGTCCATCATTAAAGGAGATGCCAAATGAATTAAGAAATATCCATATTATGGACTACTAAGCAGGAGTTTAAAAAATAAAATAGATCTACCTGAATACAGATGGACAACCTCTAAGAAATACTACTGGGTCAACAACTTGTAAACCAATACATGTTTGATAACAATATATAAAACTCAGACTAGTCTTTTCCAAACTGGAACTTGTTAAGGGAAGGTTAAGAGTTCTTTACCATTATCTGAAATACTTCAGTATTTTATAGGGTACTATGTTAAGTGCTAGTTATACAACTAGAGCTGAATTTAAAAAGGAAATAAAGTATGTTCCTACCTAGATGATTCTGTAGCTCTCGTGTCTGCCCATCTTCAGTTGGAGTAATGAGATCCCATATGAAGCCTTTAATTTTCTCGTCTCCTCGGTAGTGAACAAGGCAATATGCCAAGAGGGCTCGGCAGATGATTTCTACATCGTGCTCGTTTAGCTGCCTTTTAAAACGGCCATGAGACAGAATCTCCCTCCATCGGCCCCATCTAGTTAAAAAAGGTATATTTACATTAATATTGGATGAAATCCTAGGAAAAAATATAACTCATGGATAAAGGCCAGAAACTGCAAAAAACACATCTTATTATTAACAGGATTTACCTAATAAAAGTTTTTTTCCCATAGAATAAAATGCAGAATCATGGTAATTTCTAGTACATTTTATTCAATAATGGATAACAATATTATCCATTTTGTTACTGAATATGCAAATCTGAGAACAATAAGGAGTTTGACATTAGCAATACATTTATAATTTTAAAATTTAAGGTATCTCATCATTCTCTTAAATATGTTAAATATATAAATGCATGATACTTTAAAAATAATTTTATTGATTCTAACAAGACAAAAAGTATACTAAAATATAGTATATGTTTCCTATAATTTATATACCAGACTACTAACAGTAAACATTAAAAATAATATTTTACCCATAAACTAGCAGATTTTTCTCTACTCTAAAGCATTCAGTTCTTCCATAGCCATTCGAACGCTCACAGGGTCTCCGAAGTTTGGGCTTTTCATCTCCTTCACTTTCAGGTTCAGATAATTCAGCTAACTCATCTTTTGTGGCACTGAAGGGTCTTGTTTGCTTCCTAATTCTTGGAGTGTCAATAACCAAGCTGTTCTGTAAAATTTAATAGCTATTACTTGAAGGTCCTTTTACTGTTTTGTTTATGACAGTATTTTACATTTTTACCTCTCAAGCTGTACAAACAACAAAATAATCATATAAAGCCAGAAGAAATAAATTACTAACGATTCCACTGACCTACCAAATCAACTTAGAATTTTTAATATTTCTTTAAAATCCTTATTACCATTTGTCATAAATTCACATTACAATCATAGGATAAAAAGAATTTGGTAAATGACTTTATTATTAATCTGTAAATTATTATTTGTGCTTCTACAGCAATCAAAACTATATTTTAAACTGAATTTAAGCATCATAATTATTTTCTTTACCTAATTAGACCATAATTTAATTTAGATTGTCTTCAATTTTTAAAAGATACAATGCTAAAGTAAATCTTCGTACTTTATCCTAAAGTCCAAAGAAGTGAAACATCCAGAAATAGAAATATTGGTTAAAGGCTATACTTTGTTTTTAATGGATCTGGAATCACGTTTCAGTGCTTTCCAAAAGACTCATACTAATAAGAGTGCTGCAGTCCATGGGGCTGCAGAGAGTCAGACACGACTGAGCGAACGAAGGGAACAGAATATACAACAAGGAAGGTAATAAGTGTATGAACCTCACTACGTTCAATGCACTTTAATTCATTCGAAACAACTTAAGTTGACAAACTTTTACCTTTATTGAGCAATTTCTCTAAGTTAGGCACTATGTTATGGGCTGCAGGTGTAGCTGTGACTAAGACAGTTTCCTGCTCAGGAGAAACTGATAGTCTTGAAGATCAGACTAATGTGTAAACAAATGCTTTTCAGGATACAATACGTTATGATACAAGACAGGTACAAAACAGTCAGAGTGATTTACAAAGTAGTGATTCTTGAAAGAGATCTCTAAGAACGAGAAGTACTGTGCCAGGCATCCAAGGAAGAGATGGCATTCTAAGTGATGAAAAGAGCAATGGACTTGAAAAGGCATTCGATGTTTAAGTCCGAGAGCAGGAGAGGGTAAAGTGTAGGGGGCAGCAGGTCAGGCAGGCTCTGCTATCCCACAGTGAGTTTGTACACAGGGCATTGAATTTAATGGGTTATAGAATGTTAGTATGTCATTACTTATGACACTGACTCTCTCTATTAAGTTCTTCCACTGCAAACTTACTAGTTTTCCTTTTGTAATTAATAAATATTTCGAAAGATATATATAAGTTTAGCTTCTCTTTATATTTTAAACTAATTTTAGAATTCATCAATAGGGTGGATTAACTGAGATTTTAATTTCTCTTATTCCTTCTACATTTATTAACTGGCATCTTCTACATAAGAAACAGCTGACAAGGACCTAGTATATAACACAGAGAATTATACTCAATGTTTTGTAATAACCTGTAAGGGAAAAGAATCTGAAAAAAATATTTATGTATTTATAATGGAAACACCTTGCTGTGCACAAGAAACTGAAACAACACTGTAAATCAATTATACTTCAGTAAAAGTTAATTAAAAACAAAACAAAGAGTCGTTCCTTTCCCTGGTCACCACCCCCAGAGAAAAAAACCTTAGTTTTATTTTCTCAGGTAAATTTTCAAGTATTTTTTTTGCCCATAATCTGTAAAGATTTTGATTTATTTCTACCTGTGATCAATTTACATTAGCTTTTTTTTAAAACTGTTTTACAATGTGTTAGTATCTGCTGTATAACATGAGTCAGCTATAATACATCAACTTTTATATAATAAAAACTTTCATATACACTTCTGTTATAGTCACCAGTCAGATAGCACCTTTTTCCATTACATAATTTTTTGTCATATATTTGAATATGCCAATTATTTCCTTTGTGATTTCTAATTCAGAATGTTTTCCCATCAAATATTTGATAAAATAGAAATCAGATTTCCTATTTTTCATGTTTTGTTTCAAAAATACATTTACCACAAATTGGAGTTTACTTGGTATAGAGCATATTATTAAAATACTTCCCCAATGCTAACTGAATAGTCTAATCATGATTATTACATAATTCCTTTTCCTCTAATGCTATTTATTTTCATCCTATAAATTGATTTTCTCCTATTCTTAGTCTATTCTTTGCTCTCTATATACTTCTTTCAATATCTTAGTTCCTTTATTATATGTTAATATACTTTTATATTTTAAACATATATACCCATCTGTCTTCATGATACTTCTTGCTGGAAAATATAAAAAATTTTAAACAATGTATAAATCAGAAAACATAACTGCACAAGTTTTAAATGACTATGTTGTTGTTTAGTCATTAAGTCATGTTCAACTCTTTGCAAGCCTGTGAACTGTAGCCCACCAGACTCCTCAGTCCATGGGATTTCCCAGGCAAGAATACTGGAGTGGGTTGCCATTTCCTTCTCCAGAGGATCTTTCTGACCCTAACCCTAACCCTAGACCTGTGTCTCCTGCACTGGAGGGCCAGTTCTTTACCATGGAGCCATCTATATGCTTATATAAATTTATTTATAAAATCCTTAACTCCATAAGATTATCTATAAGGTACTGTTGACTTGAGCCATATCTATCATCTCCGACCTAAGCTGTCACCACTCTCAACACCTCCCTATGTTCTGACACAAAGCCATTTCTATTTCTGGAACACATTAAACTTGTTTCAACCAATGGCTCACTGCTATTCCCTCTACCTTGCCATTTTATTTCTCATGTCTTTACATTGCTGCCTTGTTCTCATCAGTCAAGTCTCAGGACAGATGTCCCCTCAGAGTCCCCTAATGCTATCTCCACTAATGCTAGTCCCCTAATGCTATCTCCACTCCTTCATGTACTCTCTACCATCTTACGATTTTATTTTCTTTGGTCTCAGAAATTATCTTATATATTTGTTTACATATCCACCAGAACTTATAAGCTCTATTAAAGCACTGGTTCATCTGTCTCATTCATTTTAGTCATAGCACAAGAATGGTACTTAGCTTATAGTATGCTCTAGCTGGAGCCAGCACAAATATACACGTGTCTGTGTATTACCATTATATACTTTTGAAAAATCATAAACCAAGATCACACTGTAAGTTCTGTTTTGTCTCTCTGACTCTTTAAAGTTAACTATCTTATCTTAGGGGGCCTCCCAGGTGGCTCAGTGGTAAAGAATCCACCTGCAATGCAGGAGACGTGGGCTTGATCCCTGGCTGGGGAAGATCCCATGGAGACTGAAATGGCCACCTACTCCAGTATTCTTGCCTGGGAAATCCCACGTACAGAGGGGCCTGGTGGACTATAGTCCATGGGGTTGCAAAGAGTCGGACATGACTTAGTGACTAAAACATACTGTTTCAGAGCTCTAAGTGAGTATGCAGGTATTTACATGATGAGTTTTACTTACTGCATTAGATAATATAAAAGTACTGATTATATATATCTAATTTTTTTCTAAAGTGAACAATGCAAGTGATGTACATCAATGTACCACATTATCATTAAACATGTGTGATTATTGCTGAGTCAGATTCCTAAGAGTTGATTTAGTATTCTTGAATATTTATTATTTCAGGGGAATTTTTAGATTTTGTTTGGTTGGATGAATAAATTTTTAACATTTTTGATGGGGTTGCATTTCTATGTTTATAAACTCAAGTTTAAAATGTTTAAAATGTATAGTTTTTCTAACTGACAAATCTTACAATTAAGTTTGGTAATTCACTTTATTAAAATCATACATGACCAGTTGGTATACCCATAAGTGTTCTAAATCTTTTTTTCTACTATGAAGTAGATTTCCTCTTCCATAATTTTTCTACTTCTACTATTTAGGAAGGCTAAATGTCATATTTATCCTCTATCCTGTTAATTCACTAATTCATTAATTTTATAGTGGTTTGCAGATTCCATTGACTTTTTAGGCATATAAACATGCCAACATGCAAACAGTAATATTTTAATAAACACCTCTTTTCGAACTTACTTATTTATAATGCTTCACACATAGTTATACATATTTCCAAAACATATTATACAGTAACGATTATTTGGCAGTCACATTATTCTTCACTGTAAAGTTTTATATTTTAAAAGGCTATCTATTAAAGGGATCCCATGCATCAATGCTTAATATAAATTTCTTAAAACCATTTAGCAGTTATTTTGACAGAAGGTAAGACTTACAAACATTGATTCCTATAAATTATTAGACAGGTGTCTTTCAAAGTGAACAGTTATATTATTATCAGTTCCATGAATTCTGTGTTAGCTTTTTAGCCCTTTCTTAACTCCAAAGGGTTTTAAGTTTAAAAAGCCACTTTCTTTTTCTTTAAATTTCATAATACTTATTAAGCATAATAGATTCGTGTACATAAGAACTGGATTTTAAATTTTTTTAGTTGTCAGAATTTGAAAATGCCCCCTTTTTGATTGCTTTTTTCTCCTTTTATAGTTGACTAGATCATCATTAATGAGATCTGACACCAAAAAAGCAAAATGAAGGTTAAAGAGTGAAATAAAAGTAATCCATTATTTGAAGACAATTAGAAAACTTAAAAGCACATTATAATTTTAAGACATGAATAACGCCCCAAATTTAACTCTCCCTGTATTACAACCTATCATATCAGGTATTTGAAGAATTAAATCGAAGCAGTGCCTGGCTCAATATGTTATCATTTAACTGCATTGTATCAATTTATTTATGCAGACAAATTTCAGTAAGTACATAGCTGAACACTTTAAAATATTATAATAATAAAATATATCAAAGGTAACTTTTTTTTAAGGGATGGAAATACTTACTCTACCACTGATGGCATCTATATCTATTTCTGCCTTTTTCGCCCATTTTTGCCAGAAGTTGGGATCATCTAATGAAATATCTGTTCGGTTTCCAGATGCCACAAAACTTGCCTGAAATATATAATGGTAATTTTTCAAAATCTTTTGAAGCTTAGAGGAAAAAATCTATTAAAGTATATCTAAAATCTTATCTCCTCATTTTTACTATGGACAGAATTTGAATTCAGCATAGACATAACATGTACACTCAAAGGATGTTCCAAACTGCAATGATGTGAAACACAGCACAGCATCTGCTTAAAAAAGCTTAATACCAACAGAGGCTGGAGTTTTAGGAGCAAAGTTAAAAGAGTTATTTAACTTTGGGTAAGCTGGGATCAAATCTTTTTGGTCAAAAAAACCACACGATACAGAACTAATTTTTAAAAATACTACGCGAATATAAAGAAATTAGGTTACAAGAATTTTAAACCTATTTGCCCTATACAGTTCATTTTCTGGTATTCTCCTACTTTATTTCCATCCCATTTTTAAGTAGATACATCTCCTTAAAAATGTAATACAGAAGATGAGAAATAAAGAAAAATGAGTCACTGCCTATTTTTATTTTAAAAACTCTTTTCCTAACAACAAAAATACTGCATAAGCACTACAAAAATTCAGAAATTACAGACGAATAAAAGAAAACAAAAATGACTTATTTTCTTAAGTATTATAGAAATTATATAAAATCTTTAAACTAAACCAAACTTTAGACATTAGTTCAACACTGTGATTCATGAATAACCATTATCTGCAACTTAAGTTCCTAAAAATACAAATGCTACTTCAAAGAAAAGTCATCACAGTGCTCTTTATAAAAATGAAATATGCAGTAAAGAAGTATACTACTTTAAGAAAAGAGTCTAAACAGTGGCAGATTTTATTTTCATTCTCCAAAATCACTGTGCAGGATGACTGCGGCCACAAAATTAAAAGAAGGTTGCTCCTTGAAAGAAAGCTATGACAAACCTAGACAGTGTATTAAGAAGCGGAGACATCACTTTGCCGACAAAGGTGTCAAAGCTATGGTTTTTCCAGTAGTCAGTCATGTACAGATGTGAGAATAGGATCATAAAGAAGGCTGAATGCCGAAGAATTGACGCTTTTGACCTGTGGTGTTGGAGAAGATTCTTGAGAATCCCTTGGAAAGCAGTGAGAGCAAACCAGTTAATCTTAAAAGAAATCAACCCTGAATATTCAATTGGAAGGACTGAGGGTGAAGATGAAGCTCTAATACTTGGCCACCTGAAGCGAAGAGCTGACTCACTGGAAAAGACCATGATACTGGGAAAGATTGAGGGGAGGAAGAGAAGGGGATGACAGAGAATGAGATGCTTGGATGGCATCACCGAATCAGGGCACTTGAGTTTGAGCAAACTTTGGGAGACAGTAAAGGACAGGAAAGCCTGGCAGGCTGCAGTCCATGGGGTTGCAAAGAATTGGACACAACTTAGCAACTGAACAACAAAACCTCTATGATAATAAATGGAAGAATATAGTCACATAAAATGATTTTCAAAGGAGAATATAATTAGTGAATGCCTGCAGGATAATGGCTAATTATCTGAGGTATAATCAAACGATTAAAAATCTTCATTTGCATCTCAGTGGAACTTTAAAATGTAGAAAATTACATAGGTAATAAAACTACTACAAGTAAACAAGCCATTTATGAAATTCAAGATAACTGAAAGTTTTAACACTGAAAAACTGATGGATGGTATTAAGGAATTAGTGTTGGAAATTCCTAGGCAGTCCTGTGGTTAGGACACTGCACTTTTATTGAAGATGTGGGTTCAATCTCTGGTTGAAGAACTAAGATCCCAGCCCCCCACACCCCTCAAAAGTGTTTACTATATTTAACTAAGTCTAGTTAGTCTTATTAAGCACCCTGCTCCATATATGCAGTGAAGAAAGTGAAAGTGTCAGTCGCTCAGTTGTGTCTGACTCTTTGCGACACCATGGACTGTGGCCCACCAGGCTCCTCTGTTCATGGGATTCTCCAGGCAAGAACACTAGAGCGGGTAGCCATTCCCTTCTCCAGAGGATCTTCCCAAACCAGGGATCGAACCCAAGCCTCCTGCATTGCAGGCAGATTCTTTAGCGTCTGAGCCATCAGGGAAACCTGCTCCATATATGGAACTTCTTATCAAAAACTCTTTGGTAATGCAAAGAAACACGTATTGGAATTACAGTTACATAAAACCACTGAAAACAACTGAGCAACTGAGGTTCTGAAGTCCCGGGGAAAAGCCAAAAAGAGTACCGACTTAATTCCTTTGGTGCCACTACACAGTAGTGCCATACGCTACTATGCCAAAGGCCCATCATACAGTGGCATTTCCACACAGTTATGGAAATGAAAAATCCTAAGTACAGGCTTATGAGGTACCTCTTCAGCTACTGCAGTGTTACCTTTTCAGTAAGCTCTTGTTTTCAAATGCAACAATTACTATCTGGTCTGAAGGTTTAAAATAGATACTTAAGTGCTTAAGGATTTCACATTCTTAGGGTACAGCTGGTTATGATTAGATACCTGAGGAAAATAAAACTCACAGAGCACTTTATAGTAAAGAAGGAAAAGGTCGAGCATGATTATTATGTTCTCCTCTTTCAGGACAAGAAAAACTCATCAGTGTTAACTGTCCAGGGTCACTAAGCTTATAAGCCAGAATTCAAGTCCTGCTGTTCTGACTTTCCATGATTATTATAATTAACACTGTAAATGAAGATATGCCTTCACTAATTAAAAAATAATTAAGGAGAATATCCCTATGCTTAGTTTAACCAACAAAGGTGATTTCTATGACTAATACGTTTTGGTTAAATTAACTAAATTTCAGATTAATTTCAGGCAAGAAGGGGAAAATATCTATACATAGTGTGTTGACAACTTGAGTAAGGAACCCAAAGGAAACAAGATTTCCCAGGAAAGAAGCTAGACCCAGGGTATATCTAACTAATCATGACTAGTTTTAGTTCTTAACCTTATACTTCTACAATATTTCTTGTTTCCACAATACTACTTTCTTCTGCTTTTTTCTCTACTGACTCCCAAATCTGTATCTGTAACCTAGGCAACTCTCCTGGATATCTCCACTTAGATGCCCTATAAATGTCACAAATATAGCAGCTCCAATATTTTATTTTCTCCATATGAACTTCATTCTTCTGCATTCTTTGTTTTACTTAATGATACCAGAAACTGGGCTAGAAATTTACATTTAAGTTATCTTTGACACCTCCTTCCACAAATTTCTAACTGAGTATCAATTCCTGTTGATTCAAATGGGTCTCCACTGCTCTGGTTAGCCCATCGACACAGCTTACAGAACTCTCTTATCTGGCCTCGATACTTTCAGTCTTTCACATTTCAATCTCATTCTCCACACTGCTGCTAGAGTTAAATTTCTAATTCAGACAGTATTACGTCCATTTTCTGCTTGAAGAGATTTAAAAACTTTTCAACTGCCTCACAATCAAGTTCAAATTCCTCGAAATGGAATTTTTTTGAGCTTTTCACAATTTAGGTCCAGTCTCCCTAATCTTTATTTCATCTCCATTTTGATTTACTCTGCACATCCATACACACCTGCACCATAGTTCTTGAAATCTTCCTTACAGTTTAGCAACATGTAGTTCATTTATGTGGTTTTCACTTTTTGTAACAAAACTAAATCCAAACTTCCTTCCAGAGTCAGCTTAAATGTATTTCCTCTGCAAAGACTTTCTTGATTTGCTGTTCTCCCAAACACTTTCTCTTTCACTCTTTCTCAGTGACTAGAATCCTTTAATCTTAGTGTTCCCACCACTTAGTAAAGTACCTGCCAACATGATCACATCAGCGTGCTTACTAAAGGCAAGAGGAGCATTTTCACATGAAGACTGACACCATTACTTGTGGTGTAGCACCTAGACTACTTGCCGTACTACACTGCTCTCCATAAGGATGTACAAAGGCTTCTGGGCTGGAAGTGGAGCGGGGACAAAGGAAGAAAATGCAGAAAGGAAATAAAGTGTTAAGGAGAAATCTGTATCAATCATACAGGTGGGACAGAATACTGCAATAAAAAACTCTTTAGATGAACACAAGATATACGTTTACAAGCAGGGAGGTGGGGGAGGGAAGAAGGGAAGAGGGTCAGCATAAAGGCAGCTAGTACATTATTAAAATCTTTTCCCCAAATAGCAATGTTAAAATAATTAATATTTCTTTTCAATACGCAAACTTCATCCAACTCTCCCTAAACTTGATTTAAACACTTAAAATGAAATTAGAAATCCTTTCTCTCCTTTAGGTACTCTAAATTATTACAAGTTAATGCAAAATGATTTAACCTCCTACGCTATGTTACTTATATTTTGCTCTAACTTTCATATGTATGTCCTTTCATTTCTTAATTTAACTTCAAGTGTTCTACTCTGATTAATACTTAGAACTATTTCTAGTTATTAACCCCTACTCCATCCATTTCACTAGCATAACAGTACATGTGAAATTTGATATGAGACAGCAGATAAAAATGAAGGAAAATAATATATTACCTACTTCTTTTAAGTAATTCTATTTATTTAAACATTAAGTAGGTGCTCCTCAAATAATAGTAGAGTAAGAGACAGTTAAATTTTTTTAGGAGAGAACACTACAGGTATATTTATAAAATACCACTCACTGTTACCTTGGCAAATGTTGACCCACGTCCTTCTGACTCAATTGTAATGGTTTTTGTACGACGTAGTAAAATCTGATCAATATCTTCTTCACAGAATTTAGAGCCTTCATCTTCTTCTTCCATAATGGCACCATAAGCACCTCTTCGAAGCAGATCTTCTATTTCCTTTTTGGAAAGCTGTTGAATCTAAAGAGAAAAAAGTTTGGTGATAATTCTGTAATGTTCATAAAATGAGAAAGTATACATAAAGAACATTAAAAATCACAGAAGTCATGTTTAAGTTGCATTTTGGGCTCGGGGAGTACCGAGAGAATTCTCTGAAGAACATATTGAAGTTGTTGACTCTTTACTATCTTTAAACTAAGATATGCCATTTGCCTATGATAACTTCAGTTAAAACAAAGCCTCTGGGGCGGGTAATCTCTCAAGGTTCTATTTAGTAATGGGATTCAATAGTTGTTATAATCACAAGGTATAAAAAAGATTTTGAGGGGAAAAATGCCAAAAACATCATTTATAACAAGACAAAGGCAACGGTAGTAGTTTAGCCCTAAAAAAACCAATTTGAAAACTTTTTTATAGAAAAAATTTGGGAAAACAAGAAATTCTATTTTGCTGTGTCATAATACAAACATCTTGAAAAAGAAAGAATTTCTACTTTTGCGAGTAGTGAATCCTACTCTTAGGATTCACAAGTACTGGAGCTATATAGACAGAACAGGTTCCAAAAGTGTTAACTAATAAATACAGTTCTATTCTGAAATTCCTCCTTACATAAAAGTATCTACTTAGTGTTCAATATGGATCAAAATTAAATAATATGCTATCTGGGGTTTAAATTAAATGTAAACAAAAACAGGAAAACTCTAAGTAAAGAAGAAAATATACATACACCACCAACATTACTTTCTCTTCCACTCATGCTCTGTAACACAGCCTTATCTAGACCCAGTTTCAGACTGGCTCGGTCAAACATCTCTCTTTCATATGAGTTACGAGTCACTAGTCGGTAGACTTTAACTGCTTTATTCTGACCAATTCTGTGACAACGAGCTTGGGCCTGTAAAAAATGAAACATTATAGATTCAATTTATTTTATAAAATAGCATAAAAGGCATTACACATTAAGCAATCTTGATGGGATATAAAAATATGTGTAAGAATATTTTAGACACTCCAGCTACTGAATTGCATATAATCTTTCTCTGGAAGTGAGGGCAGAGCTTACTAAAATGAGAAATGATTCCAAAATCAGCAATAAATTAAAATGTAAATGTATATTTCAAAGAATATGAATCCATGAAGAAATATCACAATCAGCAATGACTTAAAATTTAAACTTTCTATGTTGGAGAACATAACTCCATGAATACTATTTCTTAAAGAGAGTGTCATCAATATAATTCTAGACAGGAACATAAATTCTATGAACAAATTTTTTTAGCCGCTGGCTTTAAACTTAAACTTTAACCCTAAATTTCGAGTTTTTTTCTCCCTGCTACATTATCAACAATCCTTTCAATATATTTTAGTTAAGCTGGGTAATTCTGAGAAGGCTAAAAACTTAAGGTGAATAACTCTGGAGGCTCAAATTTTACTTAAACATGCAAAGAACAAATTATCTAATATGTAGACATTTTGAAAGTAAAGAGAGCAGAGATTACATAAGAGCTTCATATATTATCTCAAATTCCTACTAAACTTAAACTCCGATAAATTTTGAACTAGATTATACAAATGAAAGGTTAAACACTGTTTATTAAGTCAGGTATATTCAGGTATATTCTCAAGAATAATATCAATACAGTAATACTGAGACTACTATGAACAATAAAAGAAGAATTTTTCCAATACTTTGATCTCGTCTAGTATCCTTCCTAGAAACACATTTTCTGTAAACTCTGACTCATTATAACCACTAATTAATATTCCCATGCTTTTAGGAAGTTCAAGTAGTCTTAATTGAAATGGGTATATTAATTTTCTCTAGTATTTCACAAAAAGCAAATTCAATTATGTCTCAATTCTATGCATACGACATATGTAATGATTAAAAAGATGAAATCAGAATAAGTAACCACTTATTTTTAAAGAAGTAAAATAAGTTATTCTTAAACTTATTCTAAGCATTTCACAAATATATATGATATACTTTAAACAATTAAATATTACACTCAAGTAGGTAGAAGATATGTAATGTAATAAGTATAAATAAGTATAATAAATAAATAAGTATATTTTATTATATTTTACGGTCATTAAATTAAAATAAAATAATTTCATCTATTTTATTTGGCACTGATATTTCTTAGGGAAACATACATGTTAATTGTCCAAATAAAAATAAAACAGGTGGATTATCAAAGATAGCTATGGAAATTTTAAAAAATTCTCTTAGCCAGGGAATTTGTTTACCTGAAGGTCATTTTGAGGATTCCAATCAGAATCAAAAATTATACATGTATCAGCTGCAGTTAAGTTGATGCCCAACCCACCAGCTCGGGTACACAGAAGAAAGACAAATCGATCTGAATCAGGTTTACTAAATCGATCTATAGCAGCTTGTCGAAGATTCCCTCTGACTCTTCCATCAATTCGCTCATATAAATATCTATAAAGTGTAATGCAATAAATTTAGATAGATGAGTATAATGAAAATAAAGGCATTCTATCAAGTTGACAGACATATAGCTATCAATTTTGCTGCAACATTAATGTTTACTACCAAATTAAGAAGTGCTATTACCCCAACTAGTTTCTATGCTTTTATAATTCTCGGTGTTTGTGCTAAACAGGAAACACAAAATGATATAAAGTTAACAAAATCTCTGCATTACTGGATGTACAGGTAAAAAGCTTTACAATTAATATACTTTACTGATCTCACTGGGCTTCCCAGGTGTTGCGAGAGGTAAAGAAGCTGCCTGCCAATGCAGGAGACATTAAGAGACATGGATCTGATCCCTGGGTCAGAAAGATCCCCTGGAGGAGGGCATGGCAACCCACTTCAGTATTCTTGCCTGGAGGATCCCATGGACAGAGGACCCTTGTGAGCTACAGTCCATAGGGTCACAGAGTTGGCAGGACTGAAGTAACTCAGCATGCATGCACCAATCTCACTGTAACAAGTGATTTTTTTTTCGTGGGGGGCAAGAAGCAAAGGTTTAAATAAAACTTGATACGAGAAGCTTAAACATTTCTCGCTACCTCATTCATGTTACTCCTCAATTGATATACTTGCCTATAAAATATAATTTATTAAAAGTAAACTATAACGCTAATTCTTTAGTCATCACTGACAAATAATTACAATTTAACTTCTTTTATCCTTCCTCATTTAACATAAAACTCAGAAATTGCTAGACATCAATAAATATAAAATACATAAAGACTTAGGAACTAGAAGAGGAATACACATGACTCTTGCCACACCTCTTCTGGTTTAAGACACTTCTTTCCACCTATAATTTAGTCTTATCAGCAGTTGCACTGTTATCTCTGGGGCCTGTGAAACGGGAGTGTGACTCCTAATAGTGTTACTTTTGAATGAAAGAAATCTGAGGTTGTCCATGAAATTCATCATAAGTCAAATTTATCTTTATCTTATAAAGTTCTTTGTGTAAAGACATCAAGAAAATGCAAGAATGTCTATTTTAAGAATATTGCAATTTAATCCTCCTTCTACTTGGTATAAAATGGGCAATACAAATTTTGGAATAAGACTAAAGGAGAGAACACTGACACTAAAAGTGGAACTGAAAACAAAATGAAAAATAAAAATGTACTATAAAATATCTGAAAATATAAACTAACATAGACTGATTTTTATTTATTAATAAGGGTCAAAATATCATAAACTAAAATTACAGCTGAATCTTCAGATTCTCCTTTATATTAATGTGTTGATTTCTAGCTGGTCCACAAATACTCTGATAAATATCCTATGATAAATATCTTATTTATCTAAATAATGATTAGATATTATTGCAGAGATTATCTTACTGCCACACGCCAAAAAACCAAACCAAAGCAAAAAACCCACATTAAACACATGAGAAAGGATGAAAACAAGAGCAAATATTATACAGTGAACAATAAGCCAAAGTCCAGCAAGTTCAGGTTCTAATTTTAACACTGAAAAAGATCTGAAAAAGAATCTTGAATCATTTCCTTTAATTTTGAAGACAGTTATTAAATCCATTTAAAAGGTCGCTACTACAAGGTTAACAAACACATCAAATAAAATGTAACCTAATACACCCATCAATAGGTCAGCAAATATCTGTCAATGTGCAAAATTTTCTTAGTCTCATTAGCCCTGTCTACTATTGCAAAATATGTAGGTTAGGAAAACCTGATACATAATCTTAAACAATCTTTATGTACAGATTTAAATGGATTCTTACCTATGTAAAAAAGAAGACTTGAGTAAAGTTGGGTTACAGTAAACCGTTCTGCAGAAACCTTAATACCATAGACTTAGCATACTTTATAGTATAAATCACAGTGAACTACATGCCTTACCTTTTATGTATAAGATAGTCCTCCAGGATATCTAGGCAGCGTACCATCTGAGAGAAGATGAGCACTTTATGACCTCCTGCTTTCATTTTGGGAAGCAATTTATCAATAAGGACCAATTTACCAGCAGACTGGATCATTGCTTGAAGATGAAAGTCAGAAGCAGCTGGATTATATGTATCTCTAAATTCTCCAAGTATTTTTTCCTCAGCACCTGTCAAAGAAATATAAGAAGACAGCATCAACACACAAATGCAGATACTCTCAACTACTCTCTTTTTAAATTAGTTATCTTCTGTGCTTCTTTAACACATTAAAATTTTCTAATGTGTTACACTGCTTTTGTTAGAATTATTTATCTTTGTGGGTAAATCCCCACCAACACCAGCCTATAATTCCACTGAGGATAAAGACAGTGTCTTAAGCATTTTTTTAATCTCCCAAGACAACTGGCATAATGTCTTACAAACTTATGTTTGCTAAATGTTGAATGGATGTTCCTAGGATAAGAATTAGTGAAAATGCAGTTGTATCCTAAGTGAGTAAACACATATAAGTTTCTAGTATTTAAAAACCAATACAACAGTGGTCACCACTGCAAGGTGATCATAATCTAGATGTGTCTATAGGCATCCTGCTTGCCATCAAAACAGGCAAACAGGAAAAATTAAAAGGGAAGTCAAGTTATAGTTCTTTGACCACACTTCTCCTAGAGTCTAGATTAGCATTAAGGGTGCTCTCCTTTCCTCCAGCCTGTCTAGCCCTAAGAGTAACAGAATTGCAAGCGAGTTAGTTACTGGTCTAAGAAATGGCTTGTCTTACATAAAGAGTATATTTCCAGGAATAAGTAAAAATACTCAAATGTACAGACAGATCACTAATAGAGAAGCTGACAAGACCTTAAAAAGTAATGTTATCAGAGCACACAAATTTAGAGCCAATAACTAGAGTATCCAGACTGAAAAGAAGGCAGGAAGAAAAATGTAAATTCGGAGATTTAAACATGGTAAAGCCCATGTCTTTGTCCACAAGGAGGATTAAGCTGGTGGAGGAACCGCACTCCACGTCAGGCTGAACACGCCTCCTGCTTTTGTAGTCTGGTGATGCTAACATGGGACCCTGTTACGAAGCAGCTCACACTGCCCCCGACTCTGGAACAACTGTAAGCCCACAAAACACCAGGGTGGAGAGTTACAGGGTCAGTGCCTTTCCTTGTAGCAGCTACTACATCTGTGTTAGTTTTACTGAGCATCTGTTATTTGTCCATGAGTATTTGTTGAAAGCAAAGGATTTCTTTGCAACCCCTTTTGACTACCTTTGATGAGATACGGGTGATTACAGCACTTCCTGAGCTCCATCATGGTATTGACCAGGTTGGGTACATTAGTCTGCCCTGCTCCTTTGGATAAAAATGAAAAGTTTTTCTCCAGAATAGCCCGGTAGTATTTCTTCTGAATGTTAGTAAGTTCTACTTCAATGATGGTTTCTTCCTTAGGTGCCAACTTCTTTTCCACATCTTCTTTCAATCGTCTCAACATCATTGGTTTCAAGATAGCCTGAAGTTTCTGCACCTGCATAAAAAATGATGAAAATATACGTCGCATAGTGAAGAAAGAGAAGTCGCTCAGTCATGTCTGACTCTTTGCGACCCCATGGACTATATATAGCCTACCAGACTCCTCCGTCCATGGGATTTTCCAGGCAAGATACTGGAGTGGGTTGCCATTTCCTTCTCCAGGAGATCTTCCCAACCCAGGGGTTGAACCTGGGTCTACTGCATTGTAGGCACTTTACCGTCTGAGCCACCAGGAAGTCCATAGGTAGCATCCATATGCATAGTTACAATAAGAAGAGATTTGATGTACCTACTTACAAAGACTAATAGGATACCTGTTCCTCTGTTTTCAGATCCCCAAATTCTTGCATAAATGTTGATTCAGAAGGAAACCTTAGGGGCTCCAGAAAGTGAAGAAGACTGAATAGTTCTTCAACTGTATTTTGGAGAGGTGTGCCAGTCAAAAGCACCTTGTGTTCCTAAAGAAAGAAAGAATAACATGCCAATAAATGTATCATGTTTATGCCAACACCCTGTCAATGTCCATGTCCATGTCAAATACCATTGTGCTAAGATGATATGCAAGTTGACACAGATTATCAAATGTCCATGTTTCTGAAACGCAAACATTTTTATGACCATAATTTTCAAGAAACAGCTCAAAATATATCTCCACCCACTCTTCAGTAATTTAAATTACTCTCATTAATTTACTCTGCATTATTCTCATAATAGCTTACTTTGTCTGCTATTAATTTTTACCTATTGCTTTTAAAAGAAAAATAGTAAATAGTAAGAAGTGTATTTTTAGGTTTTTATTCAAGGAAATAGACAAATTGTTGCGGGGGTACTTAGCCATTTTTGGTATGGTAATTTGTATACAAAACAGTGCTCATTCTTTATAATTTAGCAGATCATTACTTGATTTCTTACAAAAGAACAACTTCTTACATCATTAAAGTAACAATGTAACAATGTGAAGGGCTGACTGGAATATTTCTGAGCTAGAAATGCATTACAAATTAAACATAATAGTAACAAAAGGAAACAAAGTATTTTAGTGATAATAGTACAAAGTATTTAAAATCTGATTTGAAAATATCTCTAAATTCTTAAGCAAAATATTTATATATGTATCTGCATGTCTACATAAGTATTTGATGTTAGTAAATAGTTAGACTAATATATACCAATCTGTAAATACTGGAGTAAGTAGAGAGTAGGAGTAGGCATGGATGAAGACTACGAAGGAGCACTTTACTGCTTTACTTGATGTAGTTCTGTACTTTAGTTCTTTTACTTGATGTAGTTCTGTACAAATATACTTGAGTCATTTGCTCAAGTGCTCATGTACTAACTATGTGATGCTAATTAAACTGAAATGTTAAAAAACACAAAATACTTTGATTTGAAAGCAAACATTAATAAGATGACTTTCAAAAATCCCATTAACTATAATAAATACATGCTAATTGTGCAGAAACTTCAGTCCTCTATGATAAAATGATCTGAATACTATTTTAACTTTGGTGAAAAGGGCTTTTTATTGAGGAATTTAGCCTTAAAACTTATACTTTTATTTCTTTTCAATAGGACAGTCTCCCAAGGTTTCTCTCTCTTTTTAAATTACAAAATTATTAAAGCTTTTAAGAGAAAAGTACTAAAAAATTTCAGTCTTAGAAAACAGATGAGATTTTTTCCCCTTACTAATTAAAGCAAAATAATCTTAATTATCAGATAGAAATTAGAAATCTGTATTTTAAAATTAAAAAAAAAAAAAGGAATACATTTTTGGCACCAGCTCTTTTTACTATGTAGCTAAGAAATGAAAGTTATTAAAATGACATTAAGTCACTTACCAGATTCATGAGCTTCAGACCTTCTAGAAGTTTACAGTTTTTATTTTTTAACCTATGTGCTTCATCAATAATTACACATCGCCATTCAATTGCATTAAGCTCTCCACAGCCTCCAAGAATCATTTCAAAAGTGGTGATGATGGCTTGGAATCTGTAAGCTCCTCGAATAATCCGCCCCTAGAAATTTATTACCAAATGTAATAATTTGCTAGAATGTCTTGATCATAATTTTTAATTCCTACAAATTAGCATACAAATCACTTAACAACATTTGCTATAAAACATTTTCCATAGAAGTTTTTATATATGCAGAGATACTCCCTTAAAATGAGGAACCTTAGCATTAAAACTCTATTAGACTGTAGTTTTCAAGAATATTGTCAAAAATTTTGCCAAAACAATGATACAATTAATTATATCCAAAAAAGTATTCCTTGATAAGACATTTTATAATTTTTAACAATCTTAATAACAATGTTAAGTCAAAAAAGAAATGGTTATTATAAAGTCTAGTCAAAGAAATTTCAGTGTTTATGTTTATTATTTATATCCATGACTCCACACATATAATAGCAAATAAGTAGTAAATATAAAAACTGGCCACTCATATAACTGAGTTAGCAAGTATTTATTGGGTGTTTATGTGCTAGACTCTGTTCTAGTTGCACGAGATATAGCAGTAAACAAGACAGACAAAACTAATTATCCAAGTGGAACTTACATTCCAATTACTCAAATATAGAACATAGTTTCTTTTTAAGGAAAAAAGAAACCCCAAAATTAAAAAACAAAACCAAAGAAATCATTTTAGAAAGTCATAAAGGTCACAGACTCAGATAACACAGGGAAGTGTATGGGAAGTATGGGCTTGGAGGTGACCATTCCAACTCTGTTTACAATGGCGGGGAGGCCATCACTAAGTGGCATTTGAGCAAAGTCCTAAAGATCAGGGAGGAAGGCATGTTGATATCTAGAGATCTGGACCAGGAAGCATTCTTGGTAGAAACAGAGAATGTGAATGCCATAACATGGGAATATCTTTAGCAGTATTCAAATATTAGCAAGAAAGCCAGTGAGACTAAAATCCAGTGAATGAGGGGATGAGGCTGTATAGGGTCTTGAAAGCTGTAGGTGAGGACTCTTGGCTTTTACTTTTGAGCAAGAAGCTATTAGAGGGTTTTGAGACAAGAAGTATCATGATTTGACATATTTTAAAAGAATTCCTTGGCTGTTCTGGTAAAAATAGTCTGAAAAAGGCCAAGGACAGGATCATAGAAACCAGTTGAGAGGTTGTTGTAACTCAAAACAAGAGATCATCAATGGAGGCCATGAGATTTGGAGGTCTCCATCATCAATGGAGGCCAGTTCTAGATTTAATTTGAAGGTAGAACCAAGAAGATTTACTAATGGATAGGAATGGGGTGAGTTTAAGAGAGGATTCAAGTTTCGACTAAACTTTTGGGATCAAACAACTAGAAGCTGGGGTTGCCATTTACTACCATGAGGAAATGGAGGATTTCAGTTTTGGACATGTTATGTTTGAGATGTCTATTAGATACTCAAGTGGAGTAATTGAGTAGGCATTTGCATACGACTCGAATTTAGGAAAGAGGTTAGAATTGGTGATCTAGATTTGGGAGTTTCCAGCAGTACAGATGGTAATTAAGTCATGTGACCAATGAAATCTGATGGAATGAGTATGGATATAAAAAGTAGAAGACTGAGCCCTGGGTCACCCCCAAGTTTAGATAAGACAAGAAGGAATCACTTAAAGAGGGCTTCAAAAGGAAAGTGATATAGGACCAGAATAAAGTCCTAGATTCCAAGTGAAGAGAATGTTTAAATGGCATTGAAAATTATAAACTATTAGGAGAAATGAAGTAGGTTAAGAAAAATCATGTGATCTGATTTAGGTTTTTTAATTCCTATCAACTTAAATTATGGTAATTTTACAACAATTCATATTGATTGCATACACTGGCCATTAAGCTGAACAATAACTCCAGAAGAATATTACAATAGATACAAAATATTAAGTCTATACAGCTCTAAAAACCCAGGATATGACGCATTCAGTTACAGTGATATTGTACTGTTTAAAAACAAAGGTTCTTGAGTCTGACTTGGGTTTATTAATACCAGTTTTGCTCTATGATTTTAGGGAAAACCATATCATTTCTTTTTACTTCAGCTTCCTTATTTGTAAATGACGAAGATATCACCTATTTACAAGGTAGAGATTACAAAGATTATGTGAAATACTACGTGTAAACTGTTTAGCATAATGCATGGCACATGGTAAATAATAAATGTCTGTAGATATTAGTGTTATTATGTTACTTTTTCCAGTGCAAGTCAGAAAATTACAGCATAATTTTGCCATTTCTGTGATTTCAAATTATTTAATAACCTGGAAAAAAGCAGAACTTGAATGTTCATTTAACTTATAAAAAAAAATATTTGAAAGAGTTAACTCTGAAAGTTATTTCTATATTTAAAGTGTAGATCTATTTATCTCATTACATGAGACATCCTTAACTCTTGAAATTTTAAACCCTTCACACAATATTCTAGAATGTATAACATTTACCATAAAATATAACTTAATACATACTATTCAGTTTATAACACATCAGGAATCTTTCAGCTTTCTGGTTATCACATTTATAACAAATTCATGAAATACATATTGAATCTCTTAAACTTCTAGTATTTTAAAAATACCTTTAAATGGTTTTAACGATATCTTATAGCTCTAAAATTCTACAAATATGCAATTAAGAATAATAAAACACTATGGAAGGAAATCAAACAACTTAAGTTGTCATAGGCTCCAAAAATGCAAAGTTGATAATTTTCAGTAGAACTGATTACAGAAATGCCTAATTTCATAGAAATCTAATTGTTTCAAACATTAAAGAAGAAGAAAAATGAGGTTAAAGGAACAAAATCAATTAACTTTACTGATATTCAGCCTCAAATAAGTAGAAAATCAGTTATAATTGGTAGGCAAAGGTAAAAGGCTATGCACTTTATCTTACCTTAACCTATATCATATCTCATGATCTGGCCATATGTTATAATGATCCTTATAAAATGTTAAGAGTCAGTAAAAGAAAATAAAATATTAAGGTGCTATACTGAGGCAGAGTGCCATTATCTTTTCTAACAAAACAGCACAATTTTGTGTGAAATGTGTTTTAGTTAACTTTGTTTCTTATTTCTTAGTAAAAGTTTTACCTAAGAAGAGTCAAACTATTACTCAAAACTGCAACTTGGCATTTCATGTTTTCTAAACTTAACCTTCTGCTAGGAAATTCTTTCATATAATGTCATCTCAATTTTATGATCTGTATATTTAGCAGAAAAAGGGGTATTCCTTCCTGAAGAGTTAAGTGGTCAAGGTAAAATGGAAAATATTCTTCTAGAATATGGAGAAGAAGGAAACCATCAAAGCAAGGGAAGAAAGATACAGAGGTATGTGTGTACCAGTATACAAAACAACCCAAAATGTCTAACATCAAAACTGAACACACAAGACAACCAATGGTTTCACCTCAATGGGCACTCAAACCCATGGTGGTCACTGAAGAAGTAACTTTTTAAATGGAGGGAAAAAACTAGAAGATGATCAAAGATACAGTTATTATTTTTAAAATAAATTTAATGTGTATTTAAAACAACTAGTAAAACAATTATTCTAGCTAAAAATTTAAGTATAAAATCAAATTTGTACGTTTGTATAAATCAGCACACTTCCTTTCAGTGAACTACAGTGTGAACTTGCCTACTTTTGTCATTTCTTTCTTCAGCTACTAAAATTTATTGTAAACTAAATATGATGAACAAAGAGATCAAACTAAGATCTAAGTAGGCAATTAAAATCTATCACAAATTTGAAAGTAATTAATATGTAATTCTTATCTTTTTAAAATGTGACCTTTCAAACAACAAACAAAATCACCAATAACACACCTGTGAGTCCCTGAAGTACATCTCATATTGCTGTATCATTTGTCTGCTAATCAGGCTCCCATGATAAACCACAACATTAATATCAGTCCACGTACGAAATTCTCTCTCCCAGTTTGCAATAGTAGAAAGTGGAGCAATAATCAGGAAAGGTCCTCTTATACCAGTCAGAAGGATTTCGTAGAGGAATGTAATTGATTGAATGGTTTTGCCAAGACCCATTTCATCTGCTAAAATGCAGTTTCGTCTGAAATAAACAAATATATTACCTATGTATATTTTGGGTTTTCTGTATACTACAATGTCTTAAAAGATATATATAAAAAAAGCAGAGAGATTAGGTTAAAATACTTGCATTTATAAAAACGTGAAAGTTTCTGAAGTGCAGATTTGGTTAAAGATTATAATTTTATTATAGTACTGCAAAGGGAAAACTATAGATTTATTGTAGCTCCAAAATAAAGATACCACCTCTTAAGATACTTGAGTTTTTAAAAGAACAAAATGGCAAGAACAAAACAAACTAAATGTTATTCAGGAAACATTTATTAAATGCCTTCTTATCTCAGGGATATATATATATAAATATAAAGAACATGTTCTCTGCCTTCCAGGGGCTTGCATCTATTAGAAAAGCAGACATAAATAAATAGTCATGCAACGTGCTATCACAGAAGCACAAACAAAGAACTGGTTTTCAATTCTGGCTATGTACTGGAACACCTTAAGAAACAATTACCCATGGCCTTCTCCTTTACATTCTGATTCAATGTGCAAAGTAGGATAAAAGCAACTGAAATTTTTAAAATAAGCTGCACAGATGATTGTGATATATGGCCAATTAAGAATCATCAGTGTTAAGTTCATTATGGAAGCTCAGGTGAGTAAGTATCTAACTGCGTCTAGAAGAGCTGAGAGAAGACTGCCTTCAGAGAGGAGGTCAGTAATGAGCAGGGTTTTGCCAGAGGGCAGAACAAAGGGGTACAAGTGTAAAGAATACGGTTAACTGGGAGGCAACAAATAATTTAATATGGTTTTGAGGGAATGGTAAAGGAAGGGATAGTACTAAGATAAGCAGGGGTTATAAATACAGGTTATGGACATCATTTTATTGAGAATGGGAGTCACTGAAAATTGTTAAAGAAACCTGATGAGATTAGGTTTGTACCTGAAGCTGACTCTGGTGCCACGGGAATACTAGAAGGTGAGGTAACTTGAAGTTGGGACAGTAATTGGGAAAGTACCAAAATAATACAGCAAAGAATAGTGGACCTTTGGACTAAGGTAGGAGGGATCAAGAGAAAACTGATTCTGAACTTAACCACAGGTTAGAATGATCTGGACTTAATGATCAATCAGATATATGGAGTGTAGGATGACAGTCAGATTTAAATCTGGGTGACTGAGTAAGTTGTATTATTCTTAACCAACATGTAAAATATGGAAGAATAAGTTTGATACAGAGGAAACAGGAAAGAATAAGGTTAATTGTGAATTTGTTGTGTTTAAAATATCACTGAGATAGACATTAAGGTATCAAGAAGCAAACAAATATGGGCTTGAATTAACACCTTAGAGATGTTGCTGCTAAGTGAAGACACAGGGGCAGGGGGTAGGGCGATATAAAGTTTGGCTTAGGCAGAACAAACATGTAATATGAGAAGACAGCAAAAAATCAAACGGGAAAGAAAAAATAACACTGAAAGGGTAGGCAGATGAAGAAGAACCAGCAAAGACTACTGAAAGGAATAGTTACAGAGGAGAGCTGGGAGTGTTAATGCTATGGAAGCGGTTGGAAGTGAGAATGGGAGAAAAGTTTAAAAAAGGACTAGAACTACTAGCCAGTGCAGCAGAGACAGCAATTTAAGGCTGAAAAAAACATTGTGGATTGGAAAATTAAGAGTTTCAGAGATGATACAGAATTAAAATCCAAACGACAGGTTTAAGGAGAATAGGAGATAAGAAAACAGGAAGAGTTCATGATGGCTATACTTCCTAGACCTCTACCTTGGAAGTTAAAAGAGGGATCAAGGTAGCTAGAAGGAAAAACAGAGCTAAGAGAAGATTAATCCTTTCCTTTAAAATTTTTATATATAGGTTAAGCCCAAATTTGTTCACAGACTGAAGGGAATGGGATAGTTTGAAGATACAACAGAGAAGGCTGATTAAGTGATTGAAGTGAGTTTCTGAAGACTGGATGAGATACCTGTCAAGAGTTGAGGTTGAAGCATCAGTCTTGGTTCTGGGGAGGCACCGTTTAACTTCTGATAGGACAGAGGCATGAATGGCTAAGGCTGGAGATACATATTTAGGCTTGGGTGTGAGAGCAGGCAGCAATCTGAATGAATTCAACTACTGGTCCTAGACTTGTCCAAGAAGCAGTCATATATAGAGAGTGAAGGGGGTAGGGTTCTGATAAAGTGTTTCAGGAAAATGGTATAAATTTAAAACAAGCAACTGAGAAAGCGTACTGATAAAAGACAATTAAAATTTTGTTGACTATTTTATCAGAAGATTCTCTTGGGAAAAATGATAACATTTAGAAAATATAAACAAGGGGAAAGAGCACTGTGTGGGATAACAGATCCCCCTAACTCCATCTGACGGAGTTGATGGACGCACCATTGCCATGGACTCATGACTCACTGTTACTTAGTGAAACAGAAGAATCATGTGACAAGTAAAAACACAGAAAAATGATTATGAATAAGTGTCATAAAATTTTGCTACCATTACTAATAATAGTACCTTCATTTGCTCTTTATATACATAATCAGACTTCTTTATCAATCAAGAAACCATTTTTTACTTCTTTTGCAATTAATTTTCCATCTCATTAAAAAAAGGTGACATAATATTCCAAAAAGTTTTTTAAACAGTTTGGAAAATTAATAGTAAGTGGGAGTAATTCATTACTAGGTTCTTATATTGATTCTTATAGAATCTTGTATTCTATTCCTTATCAATTACTGAAAATCTGCTTCCTTGAAGATGTACATTACAGACTTATCTAACTCTTTATATGAAACTGCTCACACCTTAGGAACTAGATTCAATTACTGGCAGACAGTAGTGAAAGTTGAATAACATGGTTGATGTTTGATGATGTTAATTAAGAAAGGTATTTCAAATTTGATTATGAATCAACATATCAACTTTCTTCTATTCGGATTGCTACATATTTAAGGGAAGCAACTGTAGTCAAAATTCTAAATTAAAATGTACATTATCTTCCAGAGGTAACCACAATTTTTCTTTCAATAATGAAGACTGCATGATAGTAATAATGTAGCAACATTAGTATTAATTTTACTTAATATATTCTGGAACACATTTTAAAAACACACATAAAAAAATTTTTTTATTAATACATACTACATACCTATTGTACCAATTAAATAAGAGCCAGTTGAGTCCTTCCAGTTGGTATTCCCTGAGTTGATTGCCATTTTTATAATCCCTGGATTGATCTATTTTTTTCCAAATATTAGGAGGAGGACGATCCTTTGTGGAAAAACAAATGAATGATGTATTTCAGACTTTTTCATTTTCCATACATCTCATACATGGTAAAAGCACTGTTTTTAAAATAATCACAGAAGAATAACACTGTACGCCTTCATGATGAAATTTTACAAACATCTAAGGACCAAATAAGTTTTACATAAACTCTTCCAGAAAACTGAAGAGGAAGGCATAGGCTCCACTCATTCTGTTTAACTCTGATAATGAAATTAGACAAAGGCATTACAAGAAAGCTAGAGACCAATATCCTGCATAAACAGAGATAAGAAATTCGTAACAAAATTTTAGCAAATGGAATCTAATAACATATAAAAAGGGTAATACAGCATGACCAAGTGTGGTTTTTCCCAGGCATGGAAGGTGGATTAAATTTGAAAATTAATCAGTGTTGATCAGACTAAAACAATCTATGATAATCTCAGATCGATATAAAAAAGGGGATTTGGAAACTCCAGTGTTTATTACTAATAAATAAACTCTAATTAAATTTTGAATAGAGGGAAATTTCCTCAACTTAATAAGATGCATCTATGAAAAAGCCATCTATTATATGTTCTGGTTAAAAAATGAATACATCCTCCCTAAAATCAGAAAAGGCAAGGATGCCCACTCTCATTACTTCTATTCAACACTGTACTACAGGTTGTAATAGGAGCAATCAAGCAAGAAAAAGAAATAAAGTCATCAAGATTAAAAAGGAGGAAGTGAAACTTTATTAATTTCCAGAAGACATGATTTGACTATCCAGAAAATCCTGTGAAATCTAGAAAAAAATACAAACTAAGAAGTGATTTTACCAACACTGCATAAGATGAGTATACAGAAAATTGTATTCTACATTGTAGAAACAACTATAAATAAATTTTAAAAGTACTACCTTACAATAGACCCAAATATGAAGTGTTCAGGGTTTACTAAAAAAAAAAAAATTTCTTAAATAGTAGCCAATGAACTTTAAAATAATTAACTATAATGTATTTTAAATTATTGTTTAAAATAATTTCCACATGAAATAATATTCTCCAGTAATTTTCCTTTCAGTAATCCAATCACTATTTCCTTAGTTTAGGAACAAATTTCATTTGTTCAAAAATACTTTACATGTTTTATACGTTGTTTTATCTAATAATGATAGACTGGCAAAAAGAAAAAAAATCACTTACCTCCTATATTACTTGACTTTGATAAACTAGCACTGTTGTCAAACTGATTTTACTTTAACTAAAGGGATTAATTTTATTGGCTACATTACCAAAGACTACAAATGTATCTAAGGCAGTGGCTCTTCCCACCATGTGCATCAAAATCGACTTTTAACACCTGGGGTCCACTCAGAGATATTCTGATTCTGGAGCCAGGAAACAGAAACTAGGCACCTCTAATTTTTGAAAAGTTCCAAAGTGGTACTGATAAGCACCTCTGACGGACAACCACCTATCTAAGAAACAGCTTACTTAATAAGGCTAAAGATCAGCTTACCACTGAAATATGGACCTCACCCCAAAAAGAAAATTTTTCCTCTTCATAATATCCTTTAGACTGCTTCTCCCTGAATTAGTGAACACTTTCCTTTCCTGGCTCAAGAAAAGGCAGTTGGAAGACAAAAGGAATAGAGGTGAGCTGCCATTCTCTTGGTAACAAGCTATGGGTATTATTGGGAGACAGATTAAGAAGACCAGAAAATAAAATGACAACCAGAAAAAAAAAATTGTTATAAAAACAATATGGTCTCTTCCATGGAACAACTAACTTCCTTCTTTTATATTACATCTCCACACTTTTCATAGCAGCCTTCCTTAATTCTGATTCTAACTGAAAAGTGATCTCTAGTCTTTTCATATACCAAATCCCTCTTTAGTGAAGAAATTTCTGTGACCAAATTACATTTGAAAGAGGACTGGCCAAAATGTTTAATTAAAATCATAGTATATCTCTTTGTGAATTTCTTTTGGTTGGTTCTGCAAACTGGATTCACATGGTAACAATCCTATGCTTTAAGTAAAAAAATATGTAATTATTAAAATAACACAACTTGCCATATAACCTTCTAGAATTCTGTAGTCTCTGAAAAATCAGAGACTCTAGAAACTCTCTAGAAAAATCAATAACTGATTCATTTTTTTTTTTTAAGCAAGGAGAGACAAGGATGAATCAATAAGAAACCAGTGTACTTAAGTTATGTGGATCTTTAGTAATATTCTATACAAAAGGTTTTTCTAAAAATAAAGCTACTATGAAAGTAGAAGAACTATTCAGTTATAAAGAAATAACTGGTTTACAGAAAGCAAGGGAAAGGGGGATATATTAAAGACTTTTCTTTGACAGAGAATTAATAACACTGCTTAGAGCTGAAACTGATATCCTTGACATTTTTATAAATGACCTGAGTAAATTCAAGATGAAGTAGAAGTATTTGAAACTTTTCTGGAGGGAAATTTAAAATGAAACACTTATCAAAAATTTTAAAAATATTTTTTAAATGTATTTGGCTGCACCAGGTCTTAGCTGCAGCAGCATGTGGGATCTTCTTTGCTGTAGTCATTGTAGCACGCGGGATCTTAGTTTCCCAACAAGGGATTGAACACAGGCCCCTGAATGCAGGCCCCCTTCATTGGGATCATGGAGTCTTAGCCATTGGACTACCAGGGAAGTCCCTTCTTATCAAAACTTTTAAATGCACATATGTTCTGACCAAACAATTATATTAATACTTCTGATTTCACTTATAAAGGATTCCATGTTTCAATGTAGCACTGTTTAGAATAGAAAAAACCTGGAGTATCCACTAATAGAGGAATAGTTAAATTAACATATATACAATACTAAGTAGTAATTTTATTTACTATATAGTCATTTTAAAAATATAGTATTAAATGCACACCAGACTAAATTCAAAATCACACTACACCTCTTGATTAAGGAAGTGATAAGATTTCATGATGATAAAGGCATAGTCTTACCAAATGTCTTGTGTCAGGCCTTAAAGCTTGCAATTGCTCAAACTCTTCTATTTTTGCAAGATCTACATCTTCTTTTAGTTCCCAAGTACTATCTTCATACGGTAATGAGCACCACTTTACTAAATAGTAAATAACAGGCTGTAAAAGAAAGTTTTTTTCACTTTATTAATTTGAAAAAGAATAGTAAGAAACAGTTTAAACTGAGAATCCCCAGAAACAATTTAAATATATTAATCTTTACTGGTAAAAACTTATGAAACTTTGTCTAGTGTTTTTAGATCATTACCTTTAAAAAAGTAATGTTTTAATACCTGGAAGGTTTTAGATTTTTCTTACTTACTCAAAAAGTATTTCTACCAAATATTTACCTCGCCAGTATCTTTATCTTCACAAAAAGAGACTTCTAACACTCTGTCTACTTCAACGTAGTCTGGGTTAAATGGTTCTTCTTCCATCTAAAATTAAAAGTAACTTAATTGATATTTGACAAAGGAGTAGAAAAATAAAAGTGAAATAAAGACAAATTTATTACTAGCTATTCACTATAGAACAAACACTTCAGTTTGACTGTAACTGAATTTCAAAAAATAGAATACTTCCATTTTAATTTCTAAAAGATTTCTATGATTTGTCTGTACTATGAATCACCAAGTTATGTACAAAAAAACTCAACTAAAAAGCACTAAAAAATAAGGTACCTCAGACAAGTAAGTTACTCTAGAAGGTATATCCTTTAAAATTTCCTAGTTGGAAAAGAGGCTTTCCTTTACCTTTCTTGTGCTACTTTTCTCAGCAATAACCAGGTCCAAGAGTTGAAGACCAACCACCTGACCTGAGGGCTCCTCTCTAATTTGTATCAAACACTATCTGGAGGTGGTTCTTGTGCTCAAGACCCCCTTACCTAACTAAAGGCACTGTCTGAGCTACCTCGCACCCAACTACACTCATTCACACTTCAACCTGTACTCCTGCCCGTAGTTTCTAACTGGGCTAATGGCCAACACAGCGCCGACGTCGCGCTACACTCTACGCCCAGTTACACAGCCAGCAACAGGAAAGTCGCCTCAGGCTCTTTTCTCTCACCCCCCACACCCCTCAGCTCGCTGATTCACACAGGTTCTCATTTTGCTTATGACTCAAATCGGCTCCTCCCTCCTCATTCTCACCGCCTCAGGTCTTCTCACTTGGATCTTTACAAGTAACTTCCTAACTGGTCACCGACTACTGTTTTGCCTCCCTTTATTTTCACACTTGTTGTTCAGCAGCTAAGTCATATTTGACTTTTTGTGACCCAATGGACTGTAGCACGCCAGGCTCCTCTGTCCTCCACTACCTTCTGATGTTTGCTACTGATTATAAATCTTACATATTGTTCCCTTGTTTCAAATTCTTTACTGACTCTCCCGTTTGGGAACCAAGCCCACATTAGTTTCTGTGGAATAAACAGGCTCAAACATCTTCCTCCAGCCTCATATCCTACTGCCTGACACAGTCACACCCCAGATATTATGCTTCAAAAGTACAAAACCACAGGCTTTTCAAATTCCATGTTCTGTCACACCTTCATGTTTTTATTCTTATTTTTCTCTCTTCTGAATAGATCGCTGCTGCTTCTCTTGTCTACTTAGCTGATTCGTAATCATGCCTGAAGGCCTTACTTCCAAAGCCCATCTCAGTTATCTTTGCTGCATCTCTTCTTCTGTTTAACCTCTAAATGTTACAGTATTCCATGGCTCTGCCTTTAGTTCTCCTCATTATCTTCATCCATTCCTGATCAATACTATCATCTCCATGTACAAGACACACTTGGTAATAAAAGAGCACTACCCAACACCAGAATGGTAAAAAAGTACTCTAAGAAAATCTGCACAGCTCTGGTTTATCTTGTACCTGAGGCACATTAAAAAAAATTAACCTTCAGGAAAAATTAAAAGATTATCAGTTAAGTACTTCTAAAATCTTTTGCTCATTGTGCATGTTCAGTCACTAAGTCGTGACTGTGGACTGAAGCCCACTAGGATCCTCTGTCCAAGGTTTCTCCAGGCAAGAATACTGGAATGGGTTGCCATTTCCTTCTCCAGGGGATCATTCCGACCCAGGGATCAAGCCTGAATCTTCTGCATCTCCCATACTGGCAGGCGGATTCTTTACCACTGAGCCCCCTGGTAAGCCCCATCAGCTCAATAGAGATTTTGGTACCAGAGTGAGGAAGTGAGAAATTTTTGAGGACCTCCCAGCATCCATAAGTTGATAGGTCATTTCAATCAACAAATTTTTGAAGTAGACTTTACAATTACAAAGAAATAAAAATAGCTTCATGGTGGAAAAATCTGCCATAAGATATCAACATAATCTAGTGATTAAAGTTAACACTACCAGTAATTGGGTAAATAGGTATCATATACCTCCTGACATGATTCACTGAGAATGCTCCTGCATCATTTCTATAGTGTTCATTTAAAAAAAATGCATGACCTGAAGCTGAGGAAACATCAAGACAATCCCAAACTGAGGGACACGTTACAGAATAAACCACCTAAATTCTTTAAAAAGAAAAAAGTCCAAGTGATGGAAAACAAAAAAATACTGATTAAAGGAGACATGCCAACTAAATGTATTATGCACTGCAGAACTAGACTTTGGATCAGAATAAGCATAAACATGCTTTTAAAAAAATTTTTGCTATAAAAGTACTAGTGGAACAATTAGTGAAATATGAATTAAGGTCTATAGATGTGATAATATTACCACGTCAGTGTTAACTGTACTATTATTATGGGAAAATGCTTCTAGAAAATACTGAAATTGAGAATTATCAAATGGCCTAGAAAAAAATTTATGTACATGGGAGAGAGAGGCAGAAAGAGGGAGAGAGGTGCACAGAGGCAGAAGAATTAATGTGAATGATAAAGCAAATATGGTAAAATGTTAACATTTAGGGAATCTAGTTAAAATATATGTGGGAATATCCAGTACCAAAATTTTCAAATAAAAAGTTAAAATAATTAGATGAATCTAAAACTGCTCTAAAAAGTCTATTAAAAGAAAATTTAAAAAGTTTAGAGCAAGGAAGGACATCTGACTTTTTAAAAAGGCCTGGAAAGGTTAATGAATTTTTCCAATGATGTTCTGTTCATGCATACACAAAGCTGACAGAGAAAATATGTAATATCTCACATACTGAAAAATCTTCTTTTTCATTTATTTGCTATGTCACCATTACTTGAATAAGTTTGCTGATAAAATACTTTAAGATATTAATATACTCACATTCAACTCTAAAAGGTATTGAAATAAATGTTAACTTTAAAATACAGGACATATCTACCACTCTGATTTATTAGTGTTCTGTTTTAGCTACTTTCCAAGCTAAATTTAGGGCTTCCCTGGTAGCTCAGACGGTAAAGCGTCTGCCTACAACGCGGTGACCCGGGTTTGATCCCTGGGTTGGGAAGATCCTCTGGAGAAAGCAATGGCAACCCACTCCAGTACTCTTGCCTGGAAAATCCCATGGATGGAGGAGCGTGGCACGCTACAGTCCACGGGGTCGCAAAGAGTCGGACACTACTGAGCTATTTCACTCACAAGCTAAATTTAGGGGGGGAAATATGTAGATATCATTTATAGTCAAATATCAAAAGTAGAAGCCTAAGAATTAAAATGAATAATATTTAAGTTTTTGATACATAATACGACATGTATTCAGAGTTCAACACATAATAGTCTTTTTCTTCTTACGTCTGCAAAAAAGTGTGCTCTTTGTGCTTGTCTCAATTTGAATCGTTTGATTTTCTGCTGGATCCTTTTATCTTTCAGAAGCTGCTGTTCTGTGGCCCATTCACAGTGAAGATAAGAGCTAAAATTTTATAAAAGTAGTATATTAGAATGATACAGAAAATCATGCTTTGTTTTTACATTTATTTTTAATCATGGCCTCTAAAAATATTATCTTCAACTTTCCAAATATGCTGTTCATCATCTCATTTAATGTTGACAGACTCATATAATTTCTAAAACAAAGCCATTGTGATCACTACACAGAATGGTAAACTGAATCATAAGGATAACAACACATGACTTTTCATTCATTTCTTCATTATAACAGTTTTGTCATGATGAGAAAGAAAACTTGTTTTGAAAGCAATGTAATTTTATTTAAAACACTTTCTTTCACCAAAGCATAAGAAACAGTTGAACAAAACCTGAAAAGTTTAACAGTATAATATGATGGAAAATGTCTATTATTTCCAAAAGCATCACTTATAAATATTCTTGCATTTTGATGTTAGTAAGTAGTTTTCTGGAAAAAAAACTACTCAATATTAACATGAAAAGTTTTCAAAGTCTATTCACTTTTGAATGATTTTTAACTTCATGCAATAACAAATAAAATATTTTAAAATACAGATAAAAGAAAAATAATAATTTAACTTAACATATTCAAAACATTAATTCATATTTAAATATCATCTTTCTATTATTTTTCTAACTCAAATACTTACTAATTCTTGTATTTTACAAAAAATTCTTCTGTATCAATCATCACTCCAGGTGATATCTAAGAAAAAGATTCAATAATTATGAGTTTTATAATCAGGCCATGCAATATAAAGTACAGAATGTACTGTATCATTACTTACTTCTTTTTTAATAGTTCTAGAAGACAGTATCTTGTCCACAATTGCAGCATCTTCTTCACTCGGATTCTCCTATATGAAGGCAGAAAAAAAGTATGATGATACATTCTGAAAACATTTCAGCTGCCACTCTGTATGTCTATAAATATACTAAAATCCAACAAACAATTATTTAACATATCAGGGACCATGTTAAATGTTAGAAATACAAAATGAAAAAAATCAATTGGTGTTACTGTCCTCAACATCACTGGCATCACCATCATAGTAAACATATTGGGCTTTTTAATCTCTTATGCATTATTCTCAATAGTTTACATTTTGCAGATTGGAAAGCTCTGGCATAGACAAGATTACTACTTGTTCAAAGTGTCAGATAAAAAAAAAAACACAAAAAACAAAGTGTCAGATGATTCAGCAAGGAAATGAATAGCTGGGTTATAGTCCAGATATGGGAGAGTAAAAGAACTCTACAAAGAGGAAAATGCCTATGTAAAGACATACAGGTGTCAAAATATGGCATCCAGACAACTATGTTTATCAAACCAGAGGACTGAGAGTTTACAGAGAAGTGGAAGGACATAAGGCCAAAAAATCCATACGAAAGGCTTTATAAGCTGTACTAAAAAGTGCATTTTCATTTGTTTCTGACTTAGGACACCATTAGAGGAGTTTTCAAGAAAAGTACTGTAATTAGGCTTGTAATTTACAAACACTCCACAAAAAACATGGAGTTTGGAGGAGTCACAGGAAAATCTATTTAGGAGGCAAAAAATTGAATGCCATGAAGTAAAGATAAAAAAAGAGAGAACAAATACCTAGGTTTCTGATCCAAATAATGAATGGTTCTATTAACTATAATATGGAATCTAGGAGGAAAAGTTGATGCAGGTTTTAGGAGGAAAGATAATGAAGATTTTTAATTTACATTGGTTTAAAATGTTTTTTGTCATATAATCCAAAATCTGTCTTACCACAAATAACTGTAAAGGCTGTTCACCAGGCAAAGGAGCTGAATTCTTTTTTAGTTTCATAGAGCCTTTAACCTCTTCTTCAGATTGTTTCCCTTCTGCATCCTCTGCATATTTTTTCCTTTTAATTTGTCGATTTGATCTTCTTTTCTGTAATGAATGATAAGGATCATATTCACATGATTTATTTTAAAGGGTCATGTGACAATTTTGTACATTAAATTTTCAAAACTGTATTCTGCATTCATCTTTTCTCATTTTTACTTTTAATTAAAGGAAGATTATAATTTTCACTGTGCCAAAGGTTTGCAATCTTTAGTTATCTTTAGTTATACTTCCTAAAATGTCAAGTAAGAATGGTTAACAATAATACCTTTATTACTTTTCTTTTGAATTTGTTAAGAATAAAAAGGTCTTTTTATTTAACTATTTCACAGATTGGGAAACACATATTTTAAAATATTAATACTAGCACAGTTTTTGCTTCAAACCTAGAAAGTCACCGATGAATATTGTTTTAATAATTAACCAGGGGCATAAAACTAAAAGAAATTAAAACTTTGACACAAAGCCCATGAACCTGTGTCTAAAACAGAAAAAAACCAAATAACATAAAATGTTTTAAAAGAGATACATGAAATAACAAAGGATGATATCTACTAAAAAATTAAATGTGAATGAAGGAGGAACCACTGTTTTACTGCCTTTACTAGCTTCCCTTAAAAATAAATAACACTATCATAAAAATGGAAGAAAGCTTTTCAGAAAGTATTCTGTGTAGTAACATGATTTTAAAATAATCTAAATAATTTAAAAGCAAGTATCAAATGCACATGGCTTTACTTACCTCCCTAAAAATCTAATATTTGATGTTCCCACTAAAAAACAAATTACACAATTGCTTGACAATCCCAAAGGACTTAGTTTTAATTTTGCATACCTCCCTAAAATCCCATGGATGGAGGTGCCTCAGTCAACTGTTCCTTCTTCCTTTTACTATTCTTCTGTGTATTTAGTAACTCCCATGACATTTCCCCAAAATGCAGCTAACAGAATAACCCATGTGTTCTCCTTTTGGTTTCTGCCAATGTCTTCAATGTGGTAGGTCTTTCATACTACCATTGCCATAACAAAACTGAATCAGAGAAGCAGTGTGGGGACAAATTTATTTGTATTCAGAAAGGCTGCAGTGCCTCTTCTCTTGAAAGCAGTGGAATACTGAGAGAAAGAAAGGCACTACTGTGGTGAGGCAGCTCAGCCAAATGTAGTAGAAAACTCCATGCTTCCATTAGGATGGGTCACCATCTCTTAGCCATGAAGATATTTATATTTGCAGAACTCAAGGTGACAATTTTGTCACTATGGGAGGCAGGAAGGTGGCATACAAAAATTATATAAAAGGGACTGAACATGGGTATCCTGCACTGCAGAAAGATTCTTTACCATCTTAGCCACCAGGGAAGCCCATAAAGGCTGGGGAGTTCACTCTAGGAAGTATACTAGCTTTTGTATACTTGCTAAGTCATGTCCTACTCTTGCAAACCCACGGACTGTAGCCTGCCAGGCTCCTCTGACCATGGAATTTCCCAGACAAGAATACTGGAGTGGGTTGCCATGCCCTTCTCCAGGGGATCTTCCTGACCCAGGGATTGAACCTGCATCTCCTGGGGGCTCCTGCACTACAGGGGGATTCTTTACTGAACCACCTGAGGAAGCCCAAGGGACTTATAAAAACCCAATTCTCCCACATCCTCTTTTGGAAAAGATATGAAACATTTATTATTCCCTGGGAGAGAAAACTCTATGGATCTCTAGTACTAGGCTAAAGAAATGTTTGGAGTTCTATTACAGGCATCAGTTCTTAATGCTCAAAAATAGCTTAATTTAATAACCATTCAGGACAATTATTATTCTAACAATAACATATATTATGAATGTTATGTCTCACTAGGCACAAATAGTTTATATAATGAAGTCTGGTAATAATTTGGTACACTTCTAGAAGATTCTATAGATGATTTCAGCATTAAAGTTTCCTTTCTGATCACTTAGGTCAGGTATTTTGAAATGCCATATACAGTCCTTAGTAAGTAGTAGTAAACAAGTGGCCTGAAAGAATCATTTTAACTCACAAATGTGCACATTCAGGTAATTCTTTACAAGATGGAATAAGAGCCACATACTGTAAACTGGTCCCTCATTCTATGAAGATTTTTATCACTCTCTGAGTAATTTAAAATACTGTGAGTTTTTTGTAGTTTTTCAACTGATTTCACTAAAACTTAAATTCCATTAGAGCATACAGATACATATTAGGCAAAGAGAAGTAAGGTGCACTCTTACCAATTAGCTTTCTCTGTTATATAACAGTTCCACTACCTTAAAAATACAGAACTAATTTGAATGTCCACATTTTAGGCTAATGTGGGTTGCTCTGGCTTTCTTTTTCTCCATAGTATTTTTCAAAGGACAATTTAAAAGTGACAAACTATTTCTTCAAATTTCTTTTTACTAACTTTTCCTCAATGTTTTAAAGGCTTCAATCAACGGCACTTTACATAAGAGGTCAGAAACATTATGTTCTTAAATGACTAAATACTTCATTATGATAACATACCATTTGTTTATCATAAACCTAATAAAATGTGCTATAGGGACTTTCAAAAATAATTTAAGTCTCTAAATATAGTTAGATTACTGAATTATTCTCTATCAGGTAAAAAATTAAATATTATAACCACATTTTTAGATTTTTCACTTGACTCTAAACCTTCAATTACTTTGCAATCCTTCAAATCTTGACAATCCATTGTGGTTGAAAACTACTTTTAGATATTTATACATAATTTATATACTCATATATTTAAATATATCAATAATACAGATTTATGACTGTTTACCAGAAAATATTTCTTTCCTTCTCCATTAAAATTTTTGTGTTAAACCAAAACGCTTCTTGAAGCAACCTAGTTAACTACTGTGAAAGGCATGGAAGAAATGTGCATGCTAACCTATTCTACCATTTCACTGTTTGGTAGTTACATAATGGAAAAATGGCCAGCATTACTTTAGAAAAAATGCAACTCCACTGTCTCAGACTGAATAACGCTAAGTGTGCCTAGGTTAAGGACAACATATGAAGAAAAAGCCGGGCCACAGAGCGCCAGGAGCTTCAGCCACTGCCCTTACCTCAACTCCTGCAGCAGCCCAGGAGCCTTGAGCCACTGCTCTCCCATTGGATAAGAAGCTGCGTGAGGAAGAAGAGAGGCCGTTCAGGGGCTTCCCGGCCCCGTGATGCGACGCTGCCACCACCCCCACGGCCGAGGGCCGCGCTTTAATTACTGGAGAGCAGAGGGCGGCCTGGGTTATTATGACCTGCACTGTGTAATGTTTTAGCTTCACAAGGTTACTTTGAATATACAGCTATTAAAAAAATAAAAAGGAAAAATGCACAGTTTTTTTGTCTGCTTTAGGGGATTTTTAATATACCTGTTTATCTTCTCTTCAGTACAAGCAGACCAAAGAAATTATCTCCAAGAATAATTCAACCCATTTGCTTTATCATTGGTATGTGATTTTAAAATTAGTATCTCCATCAATAAACTCATTTAATAATGCTCTAAAAGTACAGGGTAATAATATCACTAGATACTCTCCATGCTAAAAGCCACCAGGGTTTTTGGATCGTTACTTAAACTCTCTTGGGCTTCAGTCTCATTATTTGAAAACTGAGAGGGTTTGAAGAGGATGTGTAAGTTTCCTCCCAGGTCTAACACTGTAGGACCATACTGTAATAATGTTTTGTCATATAAGTCCTATAAAATAAAATGTACTTTCACCACTAAACTACAGTATAAATAACCATAAAACAATATTATGCTATCTAAATCTGCCAGTGCTTCATTTCTCAGAAAAAAATTTTATACTCACTTGAGAGTCTTCCTCTTTGAATGCATGCTGTGTCATCTGCTCTGCATCAGATATTTCATCTGAAGACTCATTCTTTCTCTTTTGTTTCTTACCCAATGTAATAATGAGTTTTCTGTTTTAGGAGAAAAAGAGTAAACAGTAAGATCCCTTTGTATTTTTCCATTTTTGGTCAAAGTAAGATCTCAGTGATAAATTTTCTTCTGTTTTATATCCCTTGAATGTCCAACTTTCAAAGATGCTATTTATCATGAAATAAAAAATGATATTTTCAAATGATAAACTCTATTCCAAAGGAACAAACAGAAACCAATAATACAGTTAATACATTTCAAGCTTAGAAATATAGTTAAATTCTAGCATTTGTTTCTTTAGGCTTATGATTATTTTTCATGAGAAAAATGTCAGGTGATTTAATTATTTAATAATTAACATAGTTCATTTATTTTATTATCTTGGATAGGTTTGGAATGAGGGATTCTTTTTCCTTCTACTACTTTTTATTTCAAATTCCACTTAATTTCTTTGAATCCTACCTATTCTCCAAGTCTCCACTTGTTTCTACCCTATAGCAGTTTTTCCCTTACTTAAAACACTTAAACAATTAATTGTTCTTTGATTATTTCACTTAGGGCTTTTCTCAGCTGCACTCTATCTTTCTAAAGAGTAAGATTTTTTTATATTTCTACAGTATGCATACATTTATCTGTCTCTAATATATACACGTATATATGTATATTAACACAAATTGAATGTAAATGTCTAAAATGAAAATGTGTTTTCTATGTTTGTTTCCTGATGAAAGACAGAAATACATGAGTACATCCCACATTTTCTTATCTGGTTCAATAGATGAGATGACATGATCACTATTAGGAAAGTTCTATTTTAGATATCTATATTCCAAACATAGTAAGCTTCCCAATTATATGCAGGCATGATATATTAGAAATATATCAAAAAACTTTTCAGCAGTTATTTACTAACGTGGGAAAACTTGAAGGTTAAAAGCATCCACTTTGAAATCATAGTTTCAAAAATATAAAAGCCTGATGTCACCATTTTACTTGTCTTATGTGACACTGGGGAAATTACTTGATAGCTTCCTTGCCTATAAAATAGGGATACTGCAATAGCTAGAGCCATAATTTTGCTGAGAATTAAGCGGGATAATGTATGTCTGAGGACAGCCTTTAACACATAGTAGTTTCTCAACTAATGGTAACTACATCTAACTGTGACATCAGGCACTTTCCTGGGTTCTAGGATTTGAGGGTAAAGTCGACAAAGTTCCTAACCTTACATATCATTGTTAGAATATGATCTCAGCTAAAATAAAGAGGAAGTTAGAACAAGATGTAATGTGAAGACAAAGAAGAAATGCTTACATTTACTGAAGAGTAAAGAAGGCTTTACAGAAAAGAATGTTTGAGAAAGGGAACTGAAGATGAAAGGGAGCCCAACAACTAGTGAAAGAAAAGACAGGGTACATTCCAGACAGGGGGATACCACAGAAGATATGAGAATATGCAACGATAAGAGCATGTTAGGACCACACAAAGTACTACAGGAAGAGGTGGGTCAAGGTCACAGAAGACCCTGTATTACACACAAGGAGTTCATGTTTTTAGTTTAAGGCCATCTTTAAGCTCCATAGGGCAGAAATTGAAAAGAAATCTGTCTTGCTCACCACTGACAACAAATGGCATGGAGATATTTTGGATAGATAAGAAACTGTAAAGAAACCAGAAGATGCTAGAATTTTAAACAAATTCTAGGGATGTAATGTACAGCCTAGTGACTATAGATAATAATATTGAGTTAAATATTTGAAAGTTACTGAGAGAGTAAACCTTAAAAGTTCTCATCACATGAAAAAATAAATATAACTGTGAAGGTGACAGATGATAACAAACTTACTGTGGTAACAGTTTCACAATAAATACACACATCAAATTATTATTTTGTACACCATAAACGAATACACTGTGATATGTCAAGTACATCTCAATAAAATTGGGGGGAAAATAATTTTAAACAAGGAAAAGCAATGCAACTAGAACAAAATGAAATGTAAATGAGAGAAACCAGCAATAAGGCTGCCAATTCAGGTGAGAAATGAAGAATGAAATACAGGACCATGGTAGGGTGGATGAAGAAGTCAAGAAAGATACATAATTTTTCATTTTGGAAGCAGAAACAATAGACTTGGTTATTGACTGGATAATGAGATATGAGGTGAGAAAAAATTCTAGAATGATTAACTCCCAGGGTATTCTCATATTGGTTTGATCACCACTTTCAACATGATAATGGTAATTTTTACTTGGTTATCTCACTTGCACTTTTCTGAGTATGTAAAACAAATGACATAGAGTAAACATACAGTTTACACTGAAACCAGGAAATCAGAGAAAGTATAAAAGGATACTCTGACCCAGCATTAAGGAACTGCCCACAGTCATACTCTGTCCCCTGTTTACACAGGTCATCATCTCTCTAAATTCCAGTCCCTCTTCCTTTACTCTGGTTTCTCTCCTAAAACAAAAATCTCCCTTGAGGTAGTATCTACTATTAGATACCACATCATCTTGTTCTCCCCTCCTTATCCACAGTTCTCAAGAGTCACTTATACTGTTCCTTTCACTCCTCAATCCACTACAATCAAAACTCTTAAAACAACTTTCCATGTGTATAGTGAAGTTGCTCAGTTGTGTCTGACTCTTTGCGACCCCATGGACTGTAGCCTACCAGGATCCTCAGTCCATGGGATTCTCCAAGCAACAATACTGGAGTGGGTTGTCATTTCCATATTCATAGCTTCCATTTACTCAATGTTCACTGAGTCAACCTCTGCTGACTTTATATGCATTCTCTAACTTTGTGTTCATATAGTTCTGAGAGTCAAATTATACAAGAGGAGGAAACTGAGGCTTAGAGAAATTAAAGTCATACCGATAGTAAGAACTGAGATAGAAATTAAAAGTACCTCACTCCAATGACTGACCGCCTTAAGTCTATGGCCACCAATGACCCTTGTAATGCTAAATCTGATGGAAATTTTAAAAAATTTTATCTACCAACACATAACTATTTTTTCCTCGTCTCCACCCTCAGATTCATGACATAACATTCTTCTGGTTCTAACTAAACTTCTTTGGCTCTTTTTTACTTTGTCATTTTTCAATAGGATTCCGTTTTGTTTTTTTGCCAGTCCCTTAAACTTTGGTGTTTCTCAAAGTTATGTCTTTAGACTTCTTTCCTCTCTGTATACTATTCCTAGGAAATTTAATCCATTCGTAACAACCACTTAGAAGTTAAAGATTCTCAAATCTCTTATCTCTAGTTCAGACCTTTCCTCAACTTCAGATTCATATAACCAACTGTTTATAAGACATATCCATATGGATATCCCACAGACATTAAAATCTCAAAATGGTCCCAAATGCAACCCCTCAGTTTTCCTAAAAAAGGGTACTAATACTACAGTATAATGTAAATTCAGAGAAGTGCACATATCAAAAAAGTATATAGCACAGTGAGTTTTCTCAAACTGAACATAAATGTATAACCAGCTCCTAGATCAACAAACAAGACATTGGTTTCCCAAGAGTCTCCTGTCATGCTTTTTCTTCAAGTAACAACCTCCTTCTACGAGTAACCTTTATGTTACTTCTGGTTATTTAATATAACCTAAGCCACTTGGACAGGTGATCTTCAATGGCAAGGTAAGGGATAACTCAAAGTAAAAATGATTAATAGAAATACAGTTTGCATGCACTCCCTCATCTGCTATCCATCGCCAAACCCAAACGCATAATTTAGATTAGTCTGTAGATGAGGACAACACTAGTGGCAGGAAAGTTGTTAGTTAATAACGACTTCCTATGGAGAAGGAAATGGCAACCCACTCCAGTATTCTTTTTTTTTTTAAATTTTATTTATTTATTTGGCTGCCCTGGGTCTTAGTTGTAGTATGTGGGATCTAGCTCCCTGACCAGGGATCAAACCTGGGCCCCCTGCACTGGGAGCTCAGAGTCTTAGCCACTGGACCACCAGGGAAGTCCCTACTCCAGTATTCTTGCCTGGAAAAGTCCATGGACAGAGGAGTCTGGCGGGCTGAAGTCCATGTGATTACATGACTGAGTATGTGTGCACGAGGGTGGAGGGAGATGGGTTGGTAGCAATAAAGTGGTAGAACTAAAAAAAAAAAAAAAATGACTTCCTATGAAATGCAGATCAAGGCCCGTTAATACCTGTCAGTACACTGCTTAAAAAGGCATTTTATTAGTGTTTGGTATGCTAAATAAATTCTGTATGTGAAATATATAATCTGATACGGTATCCATATTGCTGCTTAAAGACTCAAATCCCACTCAATAAAAACTTCAATGAAATCAGGAGCAGAGAGATTTAAAATTTGATATTTATGACTATCTTTTCCTTTCTAGTAGTATAAAGTAAGTAAGTTTTCACTCTAAGGACACTGAACTAAGTTGCTTAAATAATATTTTTATAAATAAACATTGTCTAAATACTAAGTGCTAAAAAAAACACTAAGTGCTACCAAATTAGTCTTGAATACTCACTCTTTTTGGTGGAGGTGGGTAAGTCAGATCTAAGTGTTTTAATACTTTATATTAAAAAGCAGAGACATTCCTTTGCCAACAAAGGTTCATCTAGTCAAGGCTATGGTTTTTCCAGTGGTCATGTACGGATGTGAGAGTTGGACTATAAAGAAAGTAGAGCACCCAAGAATTGATGCTTCTGAACTGTGGTGTTGGAGAAGACTTGAGAGTCCCTTGGACTGCAAGGAGACCCAACCAGTCCATCCTAAAGTATATCAGTCCTGAATATTCATTGGAAGGACTGATGCTGAAGCTGAAACTCCAATACTTTGGCCACCTGATGTGAAGAACTGACTCATCTGAAAAGACTGATGCTGGGAAAGACTGAAGACGGGAGGAGAAGGGGACGACAGAGGATGACATGGTTGGATGGCATCGCCGACTCAATGGACATGAGTCTGTGTAAATTCCAGGAGCTGCTGGTGGACAGGGAGGCCTGGCGTGCTGCAGTCCATGGGGTCACGAAGAGTCGGACATGACTGAGTGA